GAGCATTCTGAAGACTTCCAGTTTACCTGACATGAGCCAAATCAAGAGAGAGGTCTATTCGCATGCAAGATTCTGCACTTATAAATATCAGGGAAATATGAACAACTATTAAGATGGTATAGCTCAACATATCTCCAGAAGCCATTTGTAGAATTAATATCACATCAACTACTTTGTTGGGCTTGAGGGGGTTTCCTGACAATATTAAGTGTCTATTCCATATCTTTTGATATATCATTTTGGATATTGATAAATACAAGCTTTCTCTAGTACAGGACTATAATAGAAAGGCATCCAGTGAGGAGCAAACTTATTATCCTGCTAATAGTTTTAGTTTGTTAATCATTTCTCTAATCAAGGAACAATTAAAAGAAAGTATCTATTCATTATGATGAAAAATAAATTTAATTTACCAAACATATCAAAATATTTTTCCATCTGTTCCACTTTTATTTGAAGGTCTATAAATTCTTTAGAATCATGTGATCTGTTACAGTAAAACAGGTTTTGTTGATATTTTGCAAGCAAGCTCTGTCTGTGTGTTTTTTTTTTTTTTTTTTTTTTTATATTACTGTCACAGTTTGTCAAGTGGCTGATAATAATTTACCAGAAATATTGGTCTATAGTTTTAAAAGAATGCTTTGTAATTGGAAAAAAAGAATTTTACTCATGGCATTATATGTTTGCGATTAATCAATGTGATTAATCAACAAAAGCAGATTTAAAATTAAATAATAATTGCATTTATAATTTTTTAAATATATATATATACTTAGCACTGAAACTGTCCTCCTAATGTGGCAGAATGATCAGTCACATTGCCCACCTTAAAACCCTCAACATTATGACATTAAGCAATTCCTTTCTTGGATTCAATATAGATTCTAATGATCCATGATCACATCTTAGAAATTTCTTTTTAGTTAAAAATTCACAGTGTCTAGTGGTTATCTATATAAGCTTCGTTTCCAATGTTTGAATAATTCAATTTAGTGTTTGTTAGCCTTCTTGATAGGCATTTTAGTTGGATCAAATATTTTGACTACTGGTCTTTTAGCAATAGTTAAATGTAGTTGGTCAAACATTCCACATTCTCTTATTTTAGTTTAGCAAATAACTCATTCTGTTCTGTATACCTTGGTTAGTATTGACTCTCAACATTTACTAATCTCATAAAGGATTCAAGTTCTTTTTTTATTTTTTGCTACTGATACTTTCAGTATTATTCTATTATCCCTTTGACCTCCCTCCTTCACATTATATTTCACTTCTGTTGTCTACACATTTTTTTTCATTTATTTTTTTTCCTGCATTTCTTAATCTTCTTCACACAAGTTCATTTTTAAAAAAATTCTATTTCTGACCCCTATGCAAATGTCGTTTTGGTAGCAAACAATACTTTTTATATTGTTTCCAATGATTTGTTCTATGATTCTTTGAAAAATAGCATTAGCCGTCTTTATTCCATATGGCATTCTTATCCACCTCAATAAACCTATTGTCATGTTGATTGTCGTCACTTCTTTAAAGTAGACATCTATAGATATCTGGTGATAACCTGTTTTTAAGTTTGTTTAGAAAGATTTTTATTCCTGCTAACAAATGTAATGCTACTTCAACATTCAGAGTTGTGTATGAATCTGAGCAAACTTTACAGTTTACTCCCACTTTATAATCATCACATATTCAAAGGACTCCATCTACCTTTAAAAAAAAAAAAACTACAATTGATGGTGCCCATTTACTGCCACCCAGTAGAACATGTTCTTGAAGGCTTTGTTCTTCTAATTTTTTCAGTCCCATTAATAATAATGAAACTAACTGTACCAGTAACTTCTTTGCTTGGTAGTAGGAGGGGTTGACATTTTCATTTGACATGAAATTTGCCTTATAATTTTTTAGCATGCCAATTTCTTCAACATTCACAACATTAATTTTGTGGAATTGAGTACATCATTTCCAGCAAGTCCACAATAAATCTTTTGTCTAATTCAAAGCATATTAGTGTTTGTATAAATGAATCATCAAATTGTCAAAGTTGTAGATAAGTTTTCCATAATTTGGGATTTCCTTGTCACCCCCCCCCCCCAATTTTCTAGGAATGAGATTTACTTTGCTGCCTGTATCTATTTACATATATAGATTGGTGTTGTTTATTTGAATTTGCATTAAAATGTTCTTTTTCTTTTCTTTTCAACAAAAATATTTCTCTCATTTTCATCTCCACATTTGCTTCTTAGTGACCCTCTTAATGTGTTTTTCATTTTCACTCTGCATCCAGAGATTGGAACTGGTTCTTGTTGGCACATTTTCTACACATCTTTCCAAACACTGGCCACTTGTTTTCCTTTCTCTTGTCTACATATCCACAATATTGGCATTTGTCTTTTGTTGTCTTTTAATAAGTATGTATTGGCAATTTCTAAAACTTTCTGTCAACTTTCAGACTTGTTTAATTTCTCAATTATTTTCAGCTGTTGTATAAATTCCATGGAAGCATTGAAAGACATGTTTTCTAATTGATGTTGCTCAAGCATTTTGTATCGATGCCTTTCATTGTGTAATCCTTTCATAATTCTCATCTATATCAACTTGATTTTTACGGTATGTTCTTCATTCGCAACTTTTTCAAAATCATAGTTCCAGCTGGTCTCTGTGTAGATGTTTAATGACTGGTTCACCAGGTTCTTGTTTCATGGATGTCAATTTTGTCCATTCTGCTACGACTAACCTTCTTTTTTTTCTTTTTTTTCTTTTTTTTTTTTTTTTTTTGATTGCATGTTACTTAATGTTATTTGGCTTATTTCCTGAAAAGTTGGGTCTAATTTCAGGGGGATGGGCTAATATTGAAACTGTTTTGATAGCTTCAGCTCCTGCAGTCACCATAAAAATGTCCATTACTTTAGTTTTTTCTCCCTTTACCTTTCTTAGTTCTAGTACTTGCATCAAATCACCTCAACTATGTGTCCACAAAATTAGTGTCCTCTAGGGCTAATGGTCTTCCCATAAAAAATCTGTCCCCCTCATGACTACTCAAGTGAATATAGTGTGTCTCTTATTCATATGCAAATGATCATACTCTTACATTTACATATCATTACAAAGTACATTATCCTTAGGTGTTGATATTATTCCAGAGAGAGTAAACTTAGTTTTGAAAAATGTAGCTAGTTTTATACAAGCCTTTATCACACTAATCAATACTCATTTATATAGCTAGTCTAACAGTTCAGTTCGAAACTGATCTGTTAGGCCCTCGTATATTGAAAGTCTATCATATATATATATATATATATATATATATATATATATATATATAAGGTCATTGCAAAAGTTAGTGCTTGATTAGAAAACTAAAAAGATTTTACATACTTACAAAAACATTTATTAGTCAAAAGTCTCCATTGTTTTTAATAACTGTCTCCCATTGTTCTACAAGTTTGTTGATGTAATTTTTGTAGAAACTTTGTGTTTGAGATTGGTGAGTTGGTTGCAATACTTTTTTGCAGTTATAAGTGAACTATCCCTCTGCAATCCCACTAAACGGACAGCAATACTTTTATTGGATGCACACCCACTTTAGTCACAGGTTCTGCACATTCACAAACTTGTTTTCAGGTCTGTTTGTGAAAACATCATAAACCATCCATTTTTCATTACCAGTGAAAATTCTTTCCAAGAAGAGCTCTTTTTTTTTATGTTACAGCAAAATAATTTCTGCAGAAACACGATCAGTTGTTCTATTCCATCAGAGAATGTGGCACTCACATGTCAAGGTTGGAAACTAACCCAAATTTTTTCAGATGGTGAAAGACAGTTGAGATATCGATTTTCAAACTGTTAGCAATAATGTCCATTGAAATCTTTGGTTTACTCTATATGATGGCAAGCATAGCGTCTTTATCAATGTCAAATGGTCACGTGTTGCGTAGTTGATAGAAAGGTTAAAATCACCTTGATGAAATCTGCCAAACCATTTTTTGACCATCCAAAGAGCTGGAGCACAATCCAAATAAACCTTCTGAAAGTTTTTTTGTCACAGTTCTGCCTTTTACTCCTTTCCAGAATTCATAGAGAATAATATGGCAAAAATTCAACTTTTGATCTTCCATCTTTAAGGCATTCATTTGTGTACAAAACGTCAACATTCAATAAATCTGATGTTGCAACTGAATGATGCAAGGTTTCAATCTAGAACACACCAGAAATCAGTACCAAAACAAACACCAATGTCAAGTTGCAGTCATTTTATATTAACAATGGAAATTAGGCACAAACTTTTGCAATAATCTGAGATATAGGAGAAAGGATGAAGTTTAAAAACAAATGATTGCTGACTGGACATCAAGTGACAATGAAAGCTAGAAAGGCAGAGAGGGAAAATCATAAAAGTTGTGATACATTAAAGAAGATAACAGGCAAAGATGAAAAAAAAGAGCTGAAATATAAGATAATGCATTATCTGAGTTACAAATGTCCATAGAGTTTCTGTGGGTCCAGATAGTTGATATTAATTTCTATACCTTGTATTTTGTCTGTATGATATGTTGAATGCCTCCAGTTTGGTTATTTAAGACTAAATAAGGAATAAAAAGCTATCTGATGGTCAGTAATAGTTATTCTTTAAAAGATAATGCACTGTATTGAGTATAAAAGTTAATTTTCTTCATCTATATTTTGGGGGTTAAATTTAAAATTCAATTCACATAGTTGTTGAGAAAAGTGTATTGGCAAAAAAAAAAAAAGGATTGTTGAAAAATGCTTGTTGTATTATATAAATATGTTTTTTTTATCATCTATAGATTGGGGGGGGCTATCTATTGTGGCTAATAAGTTCCTACAGTACTTTTTCAGATTCTGGTACCAATTTAATGAACTTTATAGATTAAAGATTAACTCTGCTTTATCAAGACTTAATTTAATAATAATTTATTTTTCAGAATTTTGCTGAACAATGAGGTTTCTTCCTCTTAGTTGCAAAAGTTGATGGTGATTTTATAATGGAAAGTGATAGCAGTTCAAGCCAGACGACAGTGTGGGCCACTGTCAGTCAGCAGCAACAGCAACAGCAGCAGCAGCAGCAAGTGCAACAACAACCACCACAACAACAACAACAACAAGAACAAGAACAGCAGCAAGTCCAGCCTGCTCAATTTGTGGCTGCTACCCCGTCCAGCAGTGGTAACTTCACAGTAACCACTAGCCAGCAGGCTTTACCAATCTTAGCAGCATCACAGCCTGCTGCTGCAGCATCTGGTTCAACTACTTTCTCAGCACAGTACGTCGATTTTCGACACCCACAGTTCACTACCTACCACATTAATATTCCCCAATCTGAACTTTACCAGCCTGCTCAGTCAAGTTATGAGCGAATCTCACCTGTTGATGAGTTCCGTACAGGGGAAGTTGTCTCTGGTAATGAAGCCATAGCCACATATTCTGCTCTGCAGACTGCCGATGGGACCCAGCTTATAGCTGCTCCAACAGTAGACAGTACCACATTACATGCTGTAAGTAATTTTTTTTTAATATTCACAACCAAAGAGCATAAAAGTTGAAATAAATCTGGTAAACATCTATGTAATCAATATTTGGTTAACAGGAATTACGATTTGTTTTATTAATATTCACATGTGTTGTGTTGTGTATTTGTTCTCACAAGTATGTAGTGTAGTCAAAGAAAGATAATTATCTCTCAAGCATAGAACTCTTTCCACTTATATACAACCTCATTTGCATATGACCACATCTCCCAGAACCTCAGAGGCTTTATGCCCTTGGTAGATCTGCTATTTCTAGAAACCAATTCCGGAGGTGAACCGCTTATCTCAGGGTGATTCCTAAGATTTGTCTCTATGGGGGATCTTAGTCTTACCAGATTTTCTTCATTTGAACCTTCCTCATGTTCCTCATTATCACTAGACATGCTTATTCTCTTCTCCCTTTCACTCTCCAATTCTTGGTGATAATCCTGATCCCTCTCTTCTGTACAAGGATTTTCCTCCATTTTAAATACCTTAACTACTAGCTTGTTCTTCAGTGCTTCCTTTAGCTTTTTGAAGGCCACCTCTGGTCTTTCAGTCCACTGAAATTCATTATTCTTCTTTCTCAAGTTTGCAAAATGTTCAACCATGTCACTATATCAAGGTATATATTTATTGTAAAAGTTTGTCAAACCCAAGGAAGACTAACTCTTTCTTATTTTTTGGTGCACTTATTTCTGATATTTTGCTAATAAATCTGTCATCTGGTGCAATCACATCTTTAGATATTTGATACCCTAAGTATGAAATTCTCTCCCAATTAAATTTATACTTACCATGATTAATTGTCATGTCTGCATTACTCAATATGAATTTTGCACCTGTTGATGGGGGTTGATAAAATATCAGATTATTGAAATAGTTTGTAATTTCAAGATTGTTTAGCAGTTGATGAAAAGTTTTTAGATTTGCAGCATTGGCTTTAAGTGTTGGCTTTTAGAGTGCTTTTTTTTTTTTTTTTCACAATTCCTTCATTAAATTGTAATCTTTAGTCTTCTGGTGGCAGGCTGAGTATGAAATATTAATAATGCTTCTCTTTAAATAAATAAAGAGCATCTAATTTCTTGTCTGATATAATTCAGACCACTAACATCAAAAGCACTTTGGGTGTATTGAGGTAAATATGTATCAACTTGCAAGGACTGTTTGCTATCATTTTGTAAAACAAATAGGGATTGTTGGACTGGTGATAAAATATGGGAACATGATATTCAGCAAATTAACTATATACAACATAGACTTTAGTGAGCAATGGAAATATTCATGAACTGCCTGAATTTGTAAATAAATAAGAATAGATAAATGATGTTGGTAATGAAAGGAAAATGGCAAGATCTGATAGATGGTTGTGACAACACAAAGAAAACTGATTAGGTAGATAAATGCAATGGAAAAACAACAACAAAGAAGAAGAAAGCAGATTAGGATCCCTAACAGATCTAGTGAAAAAAAAGGTAATTTCTTCTTTGTTTTAACAAAAAATGTTTTGATGAATGATAACAATGTAAAAAGCTATCATCAGTCAATCAAGTGTGAGTCAAGTCAACATGTTTCATTCAAGAATTTTGGCAAAGGGCTGCAAAAAAAAAAAAAAAATACGCTTTATAAAGAGAATTACAGTCCTTTTTAGATTTTAATTTAAGTATCAGTTTTCAAGCTGTGATTTTGACTATTCTATTTAAGTTTACCTTATGGCTTAGTCTATAATTAAACTTTTTTTTTTAATCCGAGACATTTGACATATAATGAGAACGTTCCAATCCTAATTGATAACTAGAAGTCATTCTGCCATCTGATAGAAATGATTCATGATTCAAACAGCATGATTTAAGTCATGCAACATCATATATGTAGAAATATGTGTATGTATGTGTGTCTCATGCATACATGCACACACACACATTGCACAACTATAAGCATGATCAGAAATGATACTTGTATGAATCTGTTAGAACATTATTCATTTTAATTATATCCACTTTAAAAAAAACATTTTGCAATAATTTAAAATACTTTTTAATTTTGGTTTTATTTAGCAAAAGTTAATTGTAAAAATTAAAAAAATTTTTTAACATTTTTTATTATACCAAAAATAATTTAAAATTTAATTTCATTTGAATTTTTAATTTTGGTTTTAAATACCATTTTTGTAAATAAATTCATTCATAAATGTACCAAAAATTTTATTGAAAAAACACTTTACATAAATTTGGTTTTAAAACTTTGTGTTTTTTTATCACTTGTTTTTTTTGTCAAAATTAGATCCTTTCAATTATATCAATGGACATGTAAATGTGAACAAATTGTTTTTGTTTTCACTTTCTGCTTACTGCAACTAACAATCAATTAATTTAATTATTATTCTACAGTGCCTAAGTATCTAAATTCTTGAATGTAGGTAAGATTATTATTCTTTGTAAATGAACTTATTTCCTAAGAATGAAATCATTTTAATATCAAAGGATTGAATCTCTTCTTGATTTTTACAGCAGGGCATTCAAGTACATCATGTCATGTTAGAAGATCAACTGTTAACAATTGTGAGTTGTGTCCCCTGGACATGTAAAGCCAGTCAACAAATGAGTTTCATTTTTTTCAAGAGTCTCAACATGAGGCAGCCATTATTCCAGTGGTAAGTAAACAAAAGTTCAACTATCACCTTTCACATGCTTAGCTTGTGGTATGTAAATTCATTGAATGTAGACCAAGTTATTATTCTTTCTCGCCAGTCGTTATATCTCGCAAAAAGATAATTTAATTATTATTATAATAACAAAGTAAACCCGAGTGGTGGTTTAAATAATAATACTTTATATCGGAATGTAGGAATGTCAAAATACAGAGACAGAGTAGGAGTAAGCTAACCGAATGGTGTAGTCAACGAAGACCTTTGTTGTCGCTCTGTTGATCCTCTCTCTCAACTGTTTACTGTGGTCGAACTTTATCGGCCACCGGAACGTCCATTTATGGTGAATGGGGAAGTCAGGTTATTTCATCACAACACCTCCCCCCGAAGCTGAAATTCTTCCTTTTGAAAATTTCTGCTTCTAATATCGTCTTCTTTTTGGATCCGGACTAAAACGCTCCACTGGTTTTCTTTGCCGTGTGCTCCTTCTTTCAGTCGTCGCAATTTGATCCTTTTTTGGCGAAGATAATTTCCGCTTTCCAGCCCGTAAGGCTGGTTCATGCGATACAGGTTCCAATACACTATTGGGTAGTGTCATGTTAAAAGCATCGCATAACACTTCCATCGGAATTTCTTCTTCGCTTTTTTCACTTTCTTCACCATATCGTGGTCTAATCTGATTGATGTGTCTTTTACACATAAATTTATTACTTTTAATCATGTAGACCACTTTACCAATCCTTTTCTGGATTATGCCATCCATCCAAAAGCTTTTCCCACTTTTAAAGTTTTTAAAAAAAACTTTGTCTCCTGGTGTGTATTTTTTATATTGACTTTTTCGTCTTTTTAGCAACTTTTTGTTTTGATAGGGTAACAATCTATCGAAAATTGATCTAATTTTTCTTATGAACATAATTTCCGCAGGTGACATTTTCGCATTATTGTTCTCATTAGGAGTTACCCTATAGATTGCTAAAAACTTTTGAATAGTTCTTTCTTCAGTGTCTATACCTCTATTTTTACGTAAAGCACGTTTAAAAGTGTCGACAAATTTCTCGGCTTGACCGTTCGACCTGGGATGGCACACTGGTGTAGTTATGTGTTCAATGTCTAAGGCGGTACAGAAATCCTTAAATTCCATACTTGTGAACGCCGTACCATTGTCGCTAACTAATGTTCTGGGAACCCCAAACGACTGAAAATTTCATCCAATGCACTGATGGTGTTCCTAGATGTAGGATGCTTGCACTTGACTACTTCAGGCCATTTCGATAAAGAGTCCACCAATATCAAATAATAGTGTCCATTGATTGGTCCAGCATAGTCTATATGTAGACGTGCCCACGGCAAATCCGTTTTAGGCCAAGGATTCATTTTGACCGGAGGTGCCCTTGCAGCCAATTGACAACCTCTACATAGTCTTACAAAATCTTCGATATCCTTGTCCATTCCCGGCCAGTATACGTAATTACGCATGAGTGATTTCATCCGGGACATTCCAGGATGACCGGTATGAAATTCTTTCAGTATATCTGTCCGTAGAGATTGAGGTATGACAATTCTATCTGCGTACATCAACGTGTTGTCGCAAATTGAAAAAGGTGAAATCTGAGTTCCTTTTTTCTGTCTTTTGTTCCATTTTGTCTGGTTTTTTAATTTCACAATATAGTGATCTTTTTCCGCTTTTTTTTTTATTTTGTCCAATGTTACTGGCAATTCCCTGATTGTATTCAATAAGAGACCTGAGATTTCTTTTTCTCAGTTAATGATGCTATAACCGTCTCTTCTAACAATTCTTCCTTTTTTGGAATCAGCCTTGACAATCCATCCGCATGCCCATGTTCTTTAGATTTGACGTATTCCATCCTAAAATGGTAATTAAGTAGGGTTACACCCCATCGCCGTAATCGATTAGCTGTATGCGTAGGAATGCCTTTTTTACTTCCAAATATTGAAAGTAACGGTTTATGATCCGTTTGCAGTACAAATGATCTACCATGTAAGAAGCGGTGGTATTTTTTAACTCCGAACACAATCGACAAAGCCTCCTTCTCGATCTGGCTATAATTTTTTTCAGCCGGAAGAAGAGTCCTTGACGCGTGCGCGATAGGTTTGGTAGTACCATCTTCATATTTGTGTAGCAGTGCAGCACCCACTCTGTATAAACTTGCGTCAGTTGCTAGAATGATCTCTTTCTCAGGATCATAATGTGCTAAAGCGAGATCTGAGAGTAGGCATTTTTTATTTTCTGAAAAGCCGTCTCGCACTCTTTTGACCAAAACCATTTTTTTTTGTCTTTTTTTAACAATTCGTTGAGGGGGGGCTCTTAAATCATACATTTTAGGTATGTATATTGCATAATATTGTGCCAACCCCAGAAACGATTGTAATTTCAAGAACTGTGTCGGGTGCAGGCATGTTTTTTAATTGCATCGGCCCTCTGTGGGTCCGGTTTCCTGCCTTCACTGTCTATTACTTGTCCGAGATACGTAATTCTTTCCATGAAGAATTTACACTTCTCGTGGCTTAATTTAAAACCAAAATCTTCTAGTCTTTTGAATATCGCTCTGATGTGCGTTTTTATGTTCTTGAACATTTTTACTTTTGACTAGAATGTCATCTAAATAGGCGGTACCAAACTCCAGGCCTGCCAGCATAGTGTCCATCACCTGTTGAAACAAAGCTGGGGCGACTTTTTAAACCGAAAGGCAGCCTATTTAGCTTATAAATACCTTTATGTGTATTTATACACAAATATTTCGAGCATTCGTCACTCACTTTAATCTGCAAGTATAAGTCAGACAGGTCGATTTTTGAAAAAATCTTCCCACCATTTAATTTTGAAAAATATCTTCTGGTGAAGGTAGTGGATAACTGTGATTCTTAAGGCAATCATTTAATCCAGTTGAAAAATCTGCGCACACTCTTATTTTTCCATTTTTCTTCTTAACATAAACTGTGGGTGAGGCCCAGTCTGAATGGTCAACCTTAGATATCACTCCCATTTTTTCAAGTCTTTCCAATTCCTTATTAATTGTGTCTAAGGAGGAAAACGGGACGTTTCTCTTAGGTTTGAAAATTGGTTTCACATTTTCCTTGAGTTCAAATTTGACTTCCGTTTTGGTACATAAACCCAATCCCTCAGAAAAAACTCTGGGATATTCTTCTTTTAATTCATTTATGAATTTTTCATTTTTAATATTTTTTTGTTTTTCGGCACTGTTTATTACATTGCAAAATGAGTTAATCGGGAGTTCAAATAAATCAAAAAGTACTATCCAGTCTATTCCAAAAAGACATGAATTAATCCCTTGATTACATACACTTTCGTTTTTGCAGTCTTGCCACATAACGAAATATTGCACTTTAATTCTCCCTTAAAGTTTAATTTCTTTCCTGAAACCCCTCTAGCGGTTTTTTTTGGTTTCAGATAATTTAGGTCTTCCAATTTTTTTTCAAGTTTGTTCGTCAATGATGCTTATGTCTGAACCAGAATCCAGTAGGAAAGTAATTTTATGATTATTTATACGTACATCTACGTACTTTCTATTTTTTCCTTTCTGAATTTCTTTTTCTGATAATACCAGGCTTACATCTTGTAATTTTCTTTTCTTCTTTCGACAAACTGTATATTTATGCCCTTTATTTCCGCACGATTCGCAGAATTTATTTTTGTACCAACATACGTCTTTGGTGTGACCTTTTTTTCCACACGTTTGGCAGAACTTATTTTTGTACCAACACGTGTCTTTGGTATGATTTTTTTTCCCACACGTTTGGCAGAATTTATTTTTGTACCAACATTTTTGGTATAAATTTTTTTTCCACACGTCTCACATTTTTGTACCTTTTTTGTTTGAGTTTTTTCGAGTTTTTACGTGTCGAACATTAGCAACACTTTTCTCCTCAATTTGAATATTGTCCCTTTTTACGTTTATGAGACGTTGGCATTCTTCGGTTACCCTTTGTAATGTTATATTTGAGTCTTGCTCGACCATTATTAATATTCTCGACCTAATTTCTTTATATTTAGGATCAGTTAGTCCTTGCAGAAAAATTAGGCACTTGAATACATCTTTGGTTATTTCTTCTAACTTGAATTGTTCAACCAGAGAGTTCACTGTTCCCGCGTATGTCACAAAATCCTCGTTATCTGCTTTAACGATGTTTAGGCATTTGTATCGCGTGTGGAACAGACTATTCCTTTCGTCAAATATTTTTGACAGAATACTTATAGTTTCTTCAAACGAAACTTCTTCTGGCTTTCTGGGCAGTATCAAGTTTGAGTACTTCCTATTCTCGTTTGTCCCTAGTTTCTGTACTAGTAATGTTACTCGTTCCTCATCCGACCAATGTTGACATCTCTTGGTAAATATAGTTTTGAAACGTTTAAAGTACGCTGGAAATGTAATGCCCGAATCAGGATCATAAATAAATTCGGATAATGAATTTGTTATTCCTTCGGCAGAAAAAAACAGTATTTTTTCTTTCTCCAGTCGCCTGCTCCAAAATTTTTTCGAGACTTTTTTGCTGTTGCAATATTTGTTGTTGTAAGTCTTGGTGCTGTTTTTGTTGCTGTTGTTGTAACTCTTGATACTGTTGTTGTTGCTGTTGTAAGCTTGTACACAGCATTTTAGTCATTTCGACTAATTGCTCCATCCTTATTTTAGAATTGACCAAAACAACAAAAAAAAAAAAAAAATTTTTTTTTTTTTTTTACAGTTAACACTCTCAACAAACAATTTACAGCCGTAATATTTTTACAACCCGTAATTCTTACTTGAATAATTATTGTTAGACCGGCTCGTTTTTGAGTCGCGGTTCAAAATATATTTTTCAAATCACAATTTAACAGTAAAAATTCTTACTTTTCAAAAAGTTTCCTTTTGACTTGTGACTCCGCTTTCGAACATCCGTTCAGCGTATATATATATTTTTTTATATATTTTTTTTTTTTTAGGCAAGTAAAAGTTTTTCCGTGTAGTTGCACAATCCTTTTCCGTAGTCGTTTATAACTGTTATAGTTAACTGTTACGAAAAGTTTTTCCGTGTAAGTTTCAATCCTCGTTCGCCAACTGTTATATCTCGTCGCCAGTCGTTATATCTCGCAAAAAGATATAATAACAAAGTAAACCCGAGTGGTGGTTTAAATAATAATACTTTATATCGGAATGTAGGAATGTCAAAATACAGAGACAGAGTAGGAGTAAGCTAACCGCAATGGTGTAGTCAACGAAGACCTTTGTATGCGCTCTGTTGATCCTCTGATCCTCCCGACTGTTTACTGTGGTCGAACTTTATCGGCCACCGGAACGTCCATTTATGGTGAATGGGTTGTTCTACTTCATCTTTGTAATTGTTGTTCTTATTTCAGGTTTTATATGTAAGGGTAGCTTGAGTTCTTTCCTGATGTTTTAGGTATTTTGGGTTTCTTTCACAATCTGTCAATGACCATTTATTTTTTTTTTTATTTTTTAAGCTAATGAAGTTTTCTCTCCACTGATGTCATGGAAGAGTTCTTCAATGCATTTATTCCAATGATGCAGTACTTTTTTTTTCTTTTTTCCATAATGATTTGAATTTTCTTTAGATTGTACACATTATGCCAAAGAACATGTTTTCTCTCTTGCTATTTCTTTGGTCTTGTTGTATATCCCTGCTGCATCTGTGTACTTCAATTTGTCTATTTTACCTTTGCACATTTCCCGTCTCATGGTCTGCTCTTACAGAAACACTTTCAAAAATCAACACGTTCACTTACAACTGATTAACAATACCAATCCAGCTCTAACAGATCAAGGCGGAAAAAAAAACTGGCTTTCTACTGTCTCAATGAACAGTGACAATCTCAAACAGGCTCCATGATTTGAATGTCTATTAGGACTCCAGTTAACTTCAGAACTCAGGTGGAACTCATGCTTATGATTCATTACTAAAGATGCTGGAAAAATGGTCAGCTCATTCTATTGTATCTGACTCCTTCTGCCATGCTTTATCTTTAAAAGAGTCAGATTAGATCAAAAATGGAATATTGCTATATCTCAGCTGGAGTTGCCCAATCCTCACTTTCCAGCCCTGACAGTGTTCAAAATTGCAGAGTTCACAGTTGCAAAGTTACAAGTTTATCACCATTTCTGTGGCAAATGTTCAGATGAGCCTTACTGTTTAGATTTTTATAGCTATGACTCACCATGTTATGTCCACCGAGTTGAATCGCCCATATTTCCTTTCTATTTCAATTATAAAGTGGAAGTTTTACTCAGCTCTTCCCAAGAACTGCTACTGTGTGGAGCAAACTCTCATGAGGATGCTTCCCTGAACATTACAATCTTAACCTCTTCCCATCAAGGGTCAATTACTATCCTTCTTATCCTCATAATCTTCACTTCTTTCTACCTCCTCTTAGGTTTCTATCACACTCCTCATTCAGTAACCCTCTACCATGAGTAGCTCTTTAGACATGTACTAGTAAAAAAAAAAAATCTCTGATAGTTTTATTTTGTGCCATTTCTTAGCATTATCTGCTGTATAGATTCTCTCTCTCTCTCTCTCTCTCTCTCTCTATATATATATATATATATATATATATAATTATGAATGATACCTACACACCAATTGTGAAGCTTACATTGCTGCATGTCTTTATTTATAACTTCATTATATTGATTTTAATTAGTCAGTTACTTTCCTTGAAACTGAGATGGACAAGAATATCCAACTTATATATTTACTAATTCCATCATTAAAAAAAAAATGAAAGATTTAAAAAAATTTACTCTTTCTATTTGACTTACTTCCTTTGACAGACTCATCATCAACAGATTGAAGCAATGAGTGTAAGTGGCGAACCAGATACAACACAAGAGGACAGTCAAGATTTCAACACAGTGCAAGGTTTACTTTTTTTTTTTATCTTTTTGACTTTTTTCTATTTTTCATCCATGTCTGAATATCAGAGAAAACTCTGAAGACTTATTTAGTTTTACCTTCTGTAGCAGTGGAGTATGTCCAGTCAAGATTGAATTTACAAGATCATTGAATTGGCCTCACAGATTATTTAAAATCATGTTACTATAGTCATACCAAATAGTCTGATACAAGGTCACATTAGAAGGACACCCAATGAAAATGAAACTAAGTATAACTTCCTTTTTTTTTTTCTTTTTTTTAAATCATTTCACCCAAGCAAGGCAATAATGCCACTAAAACACAGGGGTTACAGGGAGTGAAAGTGTGAGAAGACTTTAGTGGGATGATTGAGGAAAGGACAAAAAATAAAAAAGGAACAGGGTTCAAGAAAACAGAACATAGTGACTGATATTGCGTTTAAAATTTTGGGAGTTTGTAGTTATCAGAGAAGCAAGAAATCTGAAAGTGCGAGTAGAAATGGAGGTTGCAGCTAGCTAGTTCAACAGTAAAAGATTAGTTGCCAATCTAGTAGCACACTTAAATTCATGTAGTCAAGACGCTAGAGGAAAAACTCATCAGAACAGTTGACATGAAAATATTTACAGAAACGACAGAGCAAAACCACATCACATTGATGAGAAAGTAACTGAAGTCAAGATGCCTACTAAGGATCAATTACATTACAGACCTTTATTTGAATTTTGTCAAAAATCTCAAGATGCATAACAGGAACACCAGACCAGATATGGCAGCAATATTCAATGCATAGACAAATGGTAGATTTATAAATGTGCAAGATGGATTCACAACACAGTGAACCAACTTTCCTTGTGTAGCAGTTGATTCGATATAATCACTCCACTTCATGTCAATGGAAAATGTGAAGTCAAGAAGGTGTAGATTGTTGCTCTCCTGGAGTTTAACATTAACCATGCTGATGTCAGGTAGAAAAAGTTCTTTGTGATGAGTAAATGAAAGCAGTTTCATTTTAGCAGTATTAAAATTCCCAAGCCATTTCTTACCCTAGTTTACCACTGATTGGAAATTCTTTTCAAGAACTGTTGCCAGGTTTACTTTGTCAGGTCTGTCAGATTTGCTACTTAATGGTTGTATCATCTGCATAAATACCTAATTGGAAACTTATGACATAGGGGAGATCATTGATGATGTTTAGAAACAGTGTAGGTTCAAGGATAGAGCCCTGGGGCACCCCAATGTCAGTATGAAATGATCTGGAAGAATGCCCGTTCAACGTGACCTTTATTAAATTTGTTAGGAAGAGACTTCAGTCACACATTTATGAAGACGACAATTAAAAATATCATTTCAAAGAGTATCGTGAAGGAAGCCATGAAATGAGTCCCAATCAGTGTCTTGATAACAGAAAGATATCTGTTAATATGGGGTTCATGACTGATAAGTGAGTGGAAAGAGATATCTTTAGACATTACTGCATGATTGGAATTGCCAAGAGGACAGAGCTCAACACTCAAAGTTTTTTTGTTTTTTTTTGCCTCTGCTGTAGCCAGGTACTGAACTAACAACTCTTTGGGTCAAGTCACTGGATTACTTCAACCAACACTTTTATCCATTGGGCTGGTGGATGAAATAAAGGGTCTGGTTTGAAATTCCAATCATCTGAAGAAGGCTGGAGCATACAATGGTCAAAATGTTGTGAATATGGCAACAAAGATGAGGACAACAGTCTGAACAATCTAAATAGTATAAATAAAAACATTAATATAATAAATTGCATTTCACTGTTGATCAAATATTGATTTCCAATAACTATACTTTTTGAGTAACTTTTGTCTTTTGGTTTAATATTGGGAATTTTGAAATTTTGATTGATTTATTTTTTTTTTTTTTCCTGCTGCAGTTGGTTCTGGTGTAACATTCAGCTCTGATAGTGACATTGGAGACACAACTGATGCCAATGGTTTGCATTCTACAATGCCCAGCTGCAGTTCTTCTAGTAATGGAATCAGTACTACCACCCGAGACGTGCTGCATGTTACACCTGGTCCATCTGTTAGCAGCGCACAGCTTGCCTCATCAACTGTCGATAGTGTTATGGCCAGTGATGTTGAGGTCAGTGCTGCTAGGGCTGTTCTTCACAGTGTTGGGCCCTCCCAGGCTTGTGCAATGGATTCCACAGGTCAACAGGAGCATCAACAACAACAACAACAACAACCACCACCACCACCACCACCACCAGCACAACCATTAGAATCTATAAGTGTGGTTGACAGTTCAGGAGCAGTTGACCATGAAATACAAGGTGAGTCAGTTTTTCCCTTTTTATTTTTAACATATTTAAAAAAAATTTTTCTTATATCCACTGATGTAGACTTGTCTTGTGGCTGAGGTAGATGTGTGTTTTTCATTAATGTCAAGGATTTGACAAACATCTAGGATGTCAACTGTAAATTTTTAAAAGAGAACTAATCAATTGGTATTTGTTGAACTCCTCAAACATTGCCACTTTGTTTCCATAAAATGTCCATCTGAAACTGACTTTCAGTAACTTGTTAAGTAATATATATATATATATATATATATATATATATGATAAGTATGAGTGTGTATATATATATATCTAATATATGTTAATAAATTAAAAGAAAAAAATCCTTAAATGATATAATTTATATCAACTTGCTTTTGTTTGTGAATAGAATGTGATTAAAAATTTAATGTTACCAATTCACTGCAACTTTATACAAAAATCCTCTGTGGAGTACTTTTTCATAAGAAAATTAAGTGTTGTAAGTCAAACTTATAAACAAATTTTATATGTTGTGTTTTATTATTATATCAAATGTTCCTTTGTGCATTGTATTTTTTCTCTTGTCATAGATAACCAAAATTTCATGATGTATATTCTTTTAAGTAGTTGATATTTATTTGACATTTATTTACACTATATTCGGACTACTGTCCTCTTCTTTGTTGTTGTTATTACAATGTTTCAGTTGTTGTGCCCTTTGGCCTTCATCAGGTAACTATTGATCTGGGAATTCTGAATTGAAATCTTTATTTAATCTACATATATTATCTAGTTCTTATTTTCACTACTAGTCGGTTATTGCTCAACCATTTCTACTGAGTCTAAGTATACACTGCCCAGCCAGGAATTGAACTCACAATTACTAAATCACTAAATTCATGAACCAATACTTTTATCTATTAGGCTTTTGTGACTTAGTAAGTGTGAGTTCAATCCCTGAGCTGAAACCTTGTGATAATAACAAAACTGGGGACTATAATCCAAAAAGAAATAGTTTAAATAATCCCAGAAATTCTGACAAATTATTTGACAGTGTTTTCTTTTCTGTTATTTACTTAGTATGATATTTTTATTTTGATGCAGATGATCCACATGTTGTATTGGCTAATGGATTGGGTGGGCTGGAACCTGGTTCCAGTTCTTGTACAAGTCCTGGTAGCAGTAATAGTATCAACAGTATGGATGAGGAGAAAGAAAATGTGCCACAGTCAAGTCGACAGGTAAGTGTTAAGATATTTCTATTCATTTGTTGTAAAAAGTGTAATGAATTGGTGTGACAGTTAAATATTAACATGAGCAAATCAAATGAACAACTTGAATGTTTTGTATTTAACTTTACAATTTACTTCCTCCAATACTTCATCAGTTATTTGTGTCCAATCTGTGATTTAAGCAGCCCTACAAACTTGTCTGACACATGATTCTTACATTCTTGACAGCAGTATGTGGAGCAGTTATTTATATATCCATCTATCTAACAGGTCTTCTTTTGTGCACATATCAGGCATAGCCTTATCCACGGGTGTTCACCGCTAATGTCACCATTAACAATGGGTGAATAATCACAGATCTCTGTTTTAGGTTCTGTTGATTTTTATTCAGAAAAATTTCTGTCTTTCAAAAATAAATGACTGGCAGAGAGTAATGTTTATTTTTTCTTATTTATTTCAAGAAAAGCTAAAATTTAGGTTTAACTATGTCTGATGAATTATAACTGCAAGAAAATTATTTATCACTTGACAAATGAATAGGAATTTATAGAAAAGCGACAGTAGTGAAATTAGCCATGAGATTTGAAACTGCAAACTAAGCATTTAATTAATTAGTATGCGGAAATTTACTATGTTTAGCTTGAAATGGCACAAGGCTTAACTTTTAACATTCTGCATTATTCACTACTCTCCTTTCCACTGCATTGTTTTTTAAGGCTACTTAATTTCAATCATGGTCATTTTCTGTTGCCATAGCAGGATATGACAACACAACTGCAAAATTCAAACATGCTATTATTCATTCATCTGAGTTACAATGGCAGGATAAAATTGTTCCTTTGCAAGCAAGATCACCTCCAGTATGTTAAAGGGGTTAATTAGAAGAAGTAGAGTTTGGAACATCATAAAGAGGGAGAGCCTAGCCGTTTGAAAGGTAGTTACCCAGGTTTGAACAGCAACGACTTGTAGTAAGAGGAAATATACAAATGGCAGGCTCAGTTGGTGTTTTCAGCATTTAAATTTTATCTATCTCCAACCATTATAAAGAACTACGATCACTTGTTAACAATCTTATGTCACAGAACAATTTGCAAATGTTAGTGAGTTTCATTTGCAATGGATGCCTCAATTCAGTTTAGGAAATAGTTATTTTTAATAATACTGACAGTAGAAATGCATCCTCCAGTTTTACTACTTAAACTGTATATTTTAATATAATTTTATATGTCATTTTATTAATGAAGTGTTAGAAAAAATTTTTATTGCTTCTTATATTACTCTGTGATTACTGACATAATTATAATCAACATTGTTACATTAAAACATGAACTGCCTTAGTTTATTTCTTCTGACCCCAGCTATGGGTTAAATAGTATGAATTATATCTGGAGATATCATTGTTATTCTTCAAAAGAATTGTTAATATAATATTCACTTACAAAAAAAAAAGAATTATTTTATCCATTATTCTTACAATCCAAAAATATATTTTGGCTTTATATAACCTATAAAGGGTTGATAAGCCATAAAAAAAATACAAAACATTTCAATTAAGCATTATTTCTTCTGATATTTCATATTTTCTCTTTGATAGCTGAAATATGTTTATGGCCAACATTCTCACATTAAAACTTGAACTACTTTATTTTATTCTTTCTGATTTTCATTAACTTTTCCGTGTGTTGATGTCTTGTTTTTTTTTTTTTTTAATCTTAATTTTAGCTTCGAAAATCAAATCGAATTGCTAATATGGAAGTTGAATCTACCTGGTCAAACAGACGTCGACGACATTACCAACCCAAAGAATATAACCCAAATGAATTATGTAAGTATCCTAATCTATTTTCCTTTTATACTCTTTATATTTTTTTGTTGTCTGCCTCTGCCCTTTTCCTTTCAATTTCTTTTATTAAAGAAAATTTCTAATAAAATGAAAATTATTTAATCTCCGCTTGTACTTTTAATAGCTTCCTTGCTTCTTCATGTAAATTTAATCGAGACCAAAAGTAATACAGAATGCTTACTTTTAAATCAAATGAAATGCAAACAATATAAAGATTTATTTTCTAAAAATGATTAATTTTTTTTCTGCAGGGTGTGAAGAATGCATGACCACTTATATAAGTGAGTGTCCTGAACATCGGTTACAAATTGTTCCTGATAAGGTTGTTCTGTCTCGAGCATGGTCCAGTTTACCTTCCATTTTGCAAATCTTTCGTCTTGGAGAAAGTACTGGTAAGTTCCACCCAACAAAACTAGATAAATTTGATCTCTAAGGAAATAGCCATTTCATATTATTTATGACAACAGATTTGAAGACTGGGTTTATTGATGGGCTGGTAACCATCACTGATGATTTTTTTTATTTTATTTTATGATATGGATTAAAGAGAATTCTGCATTTATTGGTGATTTTTCTTTCTTGATTGCAGTTAGTATTTCAATTTTATTTCATTTTTAGTCTTTGTATTGAAATTTGCATTTAGAAAATTATGTTTTGTTGAGTTATTGAGTTCATCAAATGATATTTTGTATTTTTTCTTGTGGTGAAATCTTGGCAAAGTATATGAAAGCTTGATGGCAGTTTAATAAATTAAAGTGAAAAAAACAATTGGAGACAGCAGTACACTGGATGGTTTCACCCCTGGCCCTCCCACTTGTAGAAATCAACTTCGTTGGATGATATATGTGTGATGTAATATTTTAGGAGGTAGTGTAGCTGTGGCAGCCATAGAAAGTAGACAGGATTTAACACCATTTAACTGAAGAATGATTGTTGGGGCTGGAAAGATAAAGATATGCTATCTCCTAGATATCAGTTGACCTAAGTTTTTCTTGGGCAACAGTAGCATGGGTGTATTGCGAATACATGAATTTCAGATACACATCAGTAACATGTGAAAACTACAGGCACCCACAGTTAATGCAAGAAGAGGACTGCTTGTGATTGACAGTGGAAGACTGGTACCATGTTGCCTGGTCACACAACTCCTGCCTACAGTTCTTTTGTGTGTGTGTGTGTGATTGTGTGAGAAAGAGTGTGACAATGTGAAACTATGGATCCAACTTGTCAGCAGGATGTTGTACAAGCTGATGATAATTTTGTAATGGTGTGGGGTTTGTTTTGGTGGTCACAAGTTATAGATATCCCTTGAATGTGCCTGGTAAATCAGTTTTGAATTAAGAAAAACAATTATTTAAAAAAACACAATGTAGGAATTAGCAGCAATTCCCAAACTAAAGTGTAAGTTACAAGACCCACTAGTGAAACTGAAATCTGTTTTGACAAGGGCAATATGCACACAATGTTTTCTTGTTGAGATGGTTTGTTCCAGTAAGTTAATACATCTTCCCTTCACCTGCATTTGGTAGTTGACATGAAACTGGTTTCAGGAACATTCTGCTGACTTTCAAGTACTCTATTGGTTCTAGCTCATACAAGATTTGAACCCTACTGAAAATATATGACCAAATGGCAAAACATCAGCAAGATATTTCTTTTATGAAGGGTTTCCTGATTGATCTGAGAACTTTTTGGCTCTCTTTCATATGGGACATAATGTAACCTCATTAAATTCCCAGTAGTCACATCCAACTGACACAAGTTATAGATATCCCTTGAATGTGCCTGGTAAATCAGTTTTGAATTAAGAAAAACAATTATTTAAAAAAATCAAAGAAGTTGCTTTTGTTTACAATATAAGTTATGTAAGCTTCTGTTATTTTAATTCATCATTTACTTTCATCATCAATTTCTTCAGATACAATTTGTGTACTAGTCTTTGTGTAGTCATCTTGGTCTTTATATCAATTGCAGCAGTGTTCAAGATTCTCGGATTCCATGTTCTATTCATTGTATATCATTAAAATATTTGATGATTGAAATTTTGTCATATTGTAATTTTTTTTCATTGTCCAAAAACAAGTCAGATTAAGAAGATATTAGACAGGTATTTAATGATTTTTTTTTCAAAACACAATGTAGGAATTAGCAGCAATTCCCAAACTAATGTGTAAGTTACTTTGTTTAGTTATAGTTGCACTTTATGAAGACAAAACTTACCAGCTTCTCTTGCAGGCAATGAATATTTTTATTTTTGGATTGTACCAATGATCACTTGATCTCCTATAACATCTATAATCAGTCACTAAAGCCAGATGTTACTGATAATGTTAGCCATTTCCTTATAAGGAAACATTTGACATTTATTGCCTGAATAGTCAGTGCTGCTGCTGGTTGAAATTTCTAAAATATTTCTCTTCAAAAAGTTTTTTTTCAGAAAAATAGATTTCTCAAGTTCAGTAGCTGTTATTCCTCTTTCCAGTATTAATGGGGGCTTCCTTCCTTGCCTTTTGTTTGAAGTAGTGTGGAATGTCAGCAGTTCACACTCCTCCCCTGCCTTTTGAACAGGGGTAGAGGTTTATCCCTTGTTTACTGTTTGGGATTGGGTTTCCAGTTCCTTCACCTAAAGTCTTTTTTAGTCTCTTTCACTCAATGGTGTCATCACCTTGTTTGGGATGAATTGATTAAAAAAAAAACAACTCTTGATTATGTTGTTATTCTGTCTTTGAGTTACAAGCTACCTATTTTAGTTGTTTCTCTCTTCCAGCTAAAAGCTACCTATTTTAGTTGTTTCTCTCTTCCAGCTAAAAGCTACCTATTTTAGTTGTTTCTCTCTTCCAGCTAAAAGCTACCTATTTTAGTTGTTGTTACTGTTGAAAGTCAAGTGATGCGGCTTTTGTTATCTGGTACAGTTCTTTATTTTTGTTTCTGTAGCACCAGTCCACGATCTTTGAAGACAGATGGTGCTCATAAAGACCTACATGCTTCACTCGCTCAAAGCAATTTTTAACCATCAATCTTAGAAAGAAGTTGTATACAACTGATGGTTTAGATATTTCTGAACAAGTTTGGCACCATATATTAGTCTTGATCTGACAAGACTATTTAAGAACCTGTCTCTTGTTTTTAGGTTGCTGTTTTGGCTCTGTAGCAAGTTGTGGTTTATTGTGAAACTACCCCTAACACAGCTTATCCTCTGTTCAAGTGTATAGTATTTACTAATTCTGCATTCTGAATTTTTATGATGGATTCAGAGTAGGCACCATCACCACTTTTATTCCAATTCCAGATCATAATTTCTATTTTGGAAAGGTTTATCAAGTTTTACTTCTTGGAATACTTAGTAGAGGATGCTAATTTTTTGTTAAAGTTCATTTTTATCCCAAATATAAATGTCTTTGTTACTGGCATAGCCCTCCTTCTCCCCCTCTATATATTGGTCTCAGGAGGGGAAGCAAGAACCCCATTTTCTATTAGTAGATTCATTTGGAATACGGTATGGAATGTTTAAGCGATCAGTACCCATCTCTTTGCATCTGTGCTTGTATATGCACAGGACATAGTCTAGGTATGGATTAAATAGATTTGGGCTCTTATTTCTTCCTTTCATACTCCTGATGAGGTTTGGAATGTTTTGGTACTTGGCTCCTCCTCCTCCTCCTCATGAACAACTTTGTGGACCAATATAGTTCTTCTGTCAGATTTAGACATTCAGTGAATTTTGAGCTTAAAAGGTAGTTTCTAATGGATGAGAAGAAGTCTCTAATAGTGTGGTTGTATTCTGTTGAGAGGTCCAGATATTCATTTTTCTATTGGAGAGGTAAGAAATTTCCTGGAATTGTTTGATGACATATATACCATAACACCCCTTACCAGAGCAAAAGTCAAACTGCGTCATGAGGAGTTGATCTTTATAGAATAATGAAAGCCAAGGTATTTATAGAATGATGAATGTTCATTAGTACCTTCAGCAAAATGGATCCAATTGAGATACCTCTGTATGTATGTGGGTCTTGCGGGCAGGGGTTACTTTTTTGTTTCTATAGTGCATTAATGTGCGATGTATATCCCTCCCCCCCAATTTTTAGGATATGCTTCTGATTCCAGACTTCTTTCATGAAATTTAGAAACTTGTTTTTAAATTTGTGGAGAGGGTACACTATTTTCAAAAGTTCTGCCTCAATGTCAAGTGATGCTTTCTAATTCTTTAGCTTTTTTTTTTTTTTTTTTTAGCTTTCTTTACTTCCTCATCATTAGGTTCATTATTGTTTACATTTAAGGACACTTTGTAATGCTTAGATGTATACTGGTGTATGTTAAAATTCTGCAAGCACTTTCTGCTTAGTCAGAATTGAAGCTTTTTTACAGACCAGAGTGACATCTCTTTTGGTTTCAATTGTAGGATGCTAATATGATTTTTTTTTTTTCATTTGTTTGTTTCTTGTATCGATCTTTTCAAATGAGTATTGTTGTCTCAGCGGAGTATCTATTTCCATCTAGATATTCTTGAAAGTTTCTCACATGCTTTGGCTAAGGAAGATAAGATAACATTATTTGATTCCACTATTTTATGGTCAAGATTTAGGAACAAAATGTTCAACTAATGTTCAATAAGCAAATTCAAAATAATTCCCAATACTTCATGGCAAAGCTTTCTTTTTATGGGATTCCTTTTCCTGTTTTGTTTGTGTAAAATACTATAGAAAATTTCTTTCATTTTCCCAGAAATCTTGACAACTGAACATTTGTCTTGTAACCAAGGTTTACCCAGACACTAGGCAAACAATATACCCTTCTACAAATGATTTCTTGGTTATTGGAATATTCTGCCAATTCAAAAGAATATGACATTCACAAAAGTTCCATCTTTATGTTACTAAAAGATAAGTGAATTATTGCAAATATTTCAGATTCTTTGTCTCAAATTATTTCAGTTGTTGTAATTTATTTTCAGAATATCATGTTTTTATATTTATTTGTAGAACTTGGGGTTTTTGCCAAGCGATATATTTCCAAATCAACTCAGTTTGGACCTTTCATTGGAGAGCCAGTGGCCAGCCAGAATATGTTAGAAGATAGCAAATTTATCTTAATGGTCAGTTGAAATTAATCACTGTTTGCAATGTTGACTTTTATTCATTTTCAAAGACTTTTCTCTATTGATCCTGGTGAGAATTATTTTTTGAGTTTTAATTCCTAAATTAAGCAATCGTTTAAACAACCAATTGTAAATGTAAGATTCTAATAGAAAAAACTATTTACAGTTTAGAACATCTTAACAGCATTAACTAAAATCATGAGCATAGTTGTATTTTTTAAATGCAGCATTTCATTTGAAAGATGCATTAATCAATTTTTAGTCGAGTCTGTTTAAAATATTTCAACAGAGATAATAAAATAGATTATTAATCTAAATATCATGACAAAAAAATAACCGAGATGTAAAGATTTGTGGTAATGAATTCTTTGTAATTTGGCTGTATTTAAAAAATACAGATTACACAAAAATGAAAATCAATTCTTGGAAAGAAAAAATTGAAGTAATTTTCTAGTTAAATATGATTTAGAAATTATCTTTTGGTCACCATATCCTTGTTCCTCAAGTTTATGTGATAAATGAAAACTAATCATTTCAACCATTTGACTAAATGACAAAACACATAATGAGCATGACTTCATTTTTCCCTAATATTAAAATGCATTTATTTTCTGCTTTCTTAAGTTTTCAATGTGTCAATATCCCACAAACTTTCCCTAAACTATTCATATATTAATATGATTGTGCTTGCAAAAAAAGTAATTGTAGAATTATTTACAATTGGTGAATATTTTAATGTTTTTGGGAAACTGTCAATTTTCTGTTGGCATATTTCCTAATTGCTGATAAATTAATGTAGCTGTTCTATAAATAAAAATGTTAAAATTTGGTTACTATTTGGTTTAATAAATGTTTCATTTGGTGCATGACAATTGTGATAATTTCAGAAATTTATAAAACAAATTCAAGTTTTCAGGAAGACTTGTTATAGTTTGAATATTGTATTGATAGTTTTTAATTGAATGGTTCAATCCCTATGACTTGTAATTTTAAAATCAATTTGTTGTTTTCTAAGAAATGTAAACAAGAATAAAGTTAATATCTTGTCGCCATGTATTATATTAAAATATTCCTTGCTGCCAAATAAAATAAACCTTTTGTAAAATATCCTCTTGTAATGTGAAGTAGGAGAAAACAAGAACATGATTAAATTCTCATTCTTTTTATCACTGACTCATTTGTCAAACTGCTTTAAAGGTTGTTTGCCAAGGCAGATGGGATATTCTTTATTGTCTAAGGTGGATATCAAATTTCACTTCAAAACATCTTGGACATCACAATGAAAAAGTAAAAAAAAAAAAAAAAGAAATTTGCCTTGTTCATGAATAATATTTTTTTTTTATCGAAAGTGCATACAAAAGTGTACACTTGGTTGAATGTCTATAGTAACAAAATTGATTGTGTTATTTCATTTCCTGCTCGTTTGTGTTCACTGCAGAATTGAAATCTCAAAAGTAATCTGAGCAAATTTTGTAATAAATGAAATTAATCTTTTGCAACCATTTGACTAAATAACAATAAAAGTATTTAGCTATCTTACTGTGCCTCCCTCTCTCTCAAGCCTATATAATACTTAATAACTGACATTTGTTCTGTTTAGCTGGAGAAAGAAAATAATGAATACTACTACTTTAAGACGTCTGATGAGAACAAATGCAATTGGATGATGTTTGTTCGTCCTGCAGAGAACTTTGCTGAGCAGAATCTTGTGGCCTACCAACATGGGCAGGATATTTTCTTTACTGTCTCCAAGAATATTGAACCAAAACAAGAACTCAAGGTTAGTAAAACATTTTCTTTCTAAAACTTAGGGACATGGATTATATTTTATCATTTCTGTGCTCATCAATGATAATTAGTGGCTTGGAGACTAAGTGACAGCAAGTCTCTTTAATACAACATTCTCCTATGTATTCTAGCTGTTTTCAGTAGAGCTGTTGTCTGGATAACCTTGCTTCTTTCTTGGATTTTAAATTCCTGTAGTCTTTTCATTGAGTTTTTTTGGTTGAGATTGTGTATATTCATAGCATGATGTGGAAGTCGATAAACTTCAAGGCTGTATGATATACAGCTATTAGAGTAAAAAAAAAACTTTCTATTCCTAGTTAAGGACTACTGGTATCAACTATGTACACTATGGAAGAATTGAAGATAATTATTCAGCAACAGGAAGAATTCCAAAAGACTTTATTACAACAAACACAATAGGAATGGCTTGAATATCAAGCTGGATAGGTTAGAAAACCACAGAGTTATTGAAAAAATAGATTATTCAGAATGGGCCTCACCAGCAATTTATATTAGAAAAAAAAAATTAAATTTTTCAACTGGATTGAATGACTGCTTCCTACCACATGCATATCCCCTACAAACTCCAGAGGATATATTTACCAAATTAAATGGTGGTAAACTTTTTCAAAAATTGACCTATCTGAAGCATATCTTCAAATTGAAGTGAATGAAGAATGTTGGAAGTTTTTGACTATTAATATGCATAGTTTAAAAGATTACTCTTTGGTGTTAAAGTAGCCCTAGGTGTTTTTCAGCAAATAATGAATACAATGTTGGCTGGACTAGATGGTGTTGTGGCTTGCATAAAAGAGAGACTTAATAAGTGTGCTCTGAAAATACAGCACGTAAAACTGATTCAGGAATTATTTCAAAGACTACATGATTACGGTTTCAAAATCGGTGAACAGAAATGTCAATTCTTCCTGGACAAGATTAAATATTTAGGTCAGATAATCGATGAAAAAAGGAAGAAGACCAGATCCTGTTCAAGCACATACCATTAAAGACACACCTCCCCAGACAAATTTGGTAACCCTACAATTATTTCTCAGATTAACAAATTATTGTAGTATTTATGTGCTAGAGATGTACACATTGTGAGTACCTCTGAATAATTTATTTAAGAAAGGTATGTAATGGAATTTGTTGGCAGAATATTAAAAAGCTTTCAAAGGAATTAAAAAGTTACTAACTTCAGAGTTATTGCTGACATATTATAACCTGCACTGACAGATAATACAGGTGTGTAACACTATTAAAGAATTGCCGGTTACGATAGATGATATCAAAATCATTCTAAAAAGGATGCGTTTATTTAAAAAGCTATTAATGTTTTTAAGTTGAGATGGAGTGAAACTAAAATTAAACCTGCTAACAATAATACAGCATTTTCTATGGACCCATGTCAGAAAGAGTATTGACTAAGGAAAGTGCATATTTAAAAAGGTGGGGGTGTAGAGGAGGTGAACACACCTCTCTAGAACAGGACTTGGACTCATCCAAATACATATAAACTGACACCGAGAATTTTCAGTAGAAAGATTAAACAAGTATAGAGTTAGAGATCAAACTTATCTGCTTACTACGTATTTCAACAAGACTGTCGACTCCAAGCCACTTCCTACTTCTTCATTCAAGGCAAAAACCCATTTTATGAATGCAAAAGTAATTTTTACTATTTTATAATTAACGTTTTCCTACTTTTTACAAAGTGGACATTGAAATTATTGTACTGTTTTAAAATTTATAAAAACTAGTCAGTGACTAATTTTTACATAATTAGAATTAAAAAAATCAGTCCCACATTTCATGTACAGATATTCTATAGCCATATAAAACCTGATTTGATTATACAAACATAATTTTTCTTTTTATGCTGTTTATTTGGTCATTTTTTTTTTTTTATGCAAAATATGAAAGGTGTAGCTAATTGATTCTGTTAGATATGAAAAAAAATGTAACATACCTGCAAATGCAACACAACTGTTCATTTAGTATTTGATCACTGATCATGGACCAGTAACATTCTGAGTTTGGGATCTTTACAATCACATTGTATCTAAATCTGAAAAGATCTCCAGCAGGATTAGTGCTAAAGCATTGCTTGAGTCATTGTTGGCTGTACACTCCATTTTATTTCAAAATCATAGAAACCATCAAGAATAACTGAAGTTCACATATAACAGTAATGACTGGGTGTTTTTTTTTTGTTTTTTTTATTATGGCTTGTTACAAATTTCTCATGGTTGTATCTACTCTTCCTTATTATTTTGGCAAGGGAATGAATTTTCACTCCATCTATCTCAGCAAATTGATTGGACCGCAGTTACTGATGTTGCCATTGGTCAATTCCTCTCGTGGTAGCAATAGGTTGTCACCACCTTGGTTGGCTGTTGAACTGTTCTGTCTTTTCTTACCATGTTGCGTCTTATAATGATTCTCCTAGCAGTGTGTGTTAGATGACTGCTGCAACTCCTTGCACACCCTTAATAATACTATAGCCTGGCTTGCTTGTTTCTCTGAAAATTCCATTAGAACTGTTGTGAAAATGTTTTGATTTGGTAGTACACATGTCAAATACATAGGAAATCTTTTTGTTTTGTCCTGTCAACTCTGATGGTCAGCCAAAATGTCTTCTTCCAGTGTTTGATATTCTATTTGACCAATAAGTGGACTTTCACACTTGGAGGTTTTTTTCTGGATGACAAAATATTCTTTTCGTCATTTTAGTTCATCTGATCCAATTCATTCAACCCAGTTCTCCATTTTACTAGCTAGTAAATATTTGAATTTTAAAATTTTGTTGATCTAGTTTTTACCTAAGCCTAGCCATCTGGCTATTGTTGACTTCTCATTTTCTTAGTTTACCCATCTGGTTATAAAGGTGGTGTTAAATCTACATAGAAGCTAATTGCATTTAAATCAGCAGCAGGAGGCTTGGTACCCCTGCTGGTTAAAAGTGGTACAATCCTGGAGCTGTATTTAAGCTCTGCCAATTTCTCCTGTGTCAGTTTTTGTATCCGGTATTAGTGACACCTTCTCTAACCTTACCATCACTCCTCCCATCTCCTGGGCTAAGTGCTTTTGTAGGTCCAAGAGACAGTTGAATTTCTTCAGTGAATGTCGAGTGGCCTTGAGGGTTGTTCCTCGGTCCATTGACCTTTTACAGCCTTGGAGGATCTTGTATTGTGAATTAGTGGAGGGGGTCACAAAGGATCCACTCTGTGGATGGTTCAACTTGTTGTTGGCTGAGTTACACTCTTTCTGGTCTTAGGCACCAACAGCAAATTACCTCAGTAACCCTGAGTTTTCACTTACCTGGTGATTGATTGGAATGTGCTATCTCTCAATCACAGGATCTTCAGATTGGGCGTGAATTGGCTTGAATGGTGATTTTGGACATCACAGATGGAGGGAAACTTGCGATATGAATGCTATTCTCATCAGGCTTTGGTCAGATTCTTTCAGCATCAGCTGATGGTGAAGATCAGAACTGATAGAAAGTGTTTGATATCGACAGATTTCAGCAAAAGGTGGGTGAAAGTAGCAAGGTTGGTTCGCCTAAAAGAGGCTAGTCTTGAGTTCCTTTTTTGAGTCCTCTTGGTCACAATGGGGTGGCTTCCTGTGAACCCTCCTCTGGTTAAGTTAGACTCTTTTATGTTTTCCTAGTTAATGTGAATAAGTGTTGTTTCCAGCCTGTCCCTGGCATTCTCTTTTGTTATGATCCAGGTTGAGATTCCCAACCTCCCCAGTTTGTTTTTGGTCCCCTTTTTCATCTCAGTTGGGTTAGACTTTGTTTTTTCCCACTCTACTATTTATTTTTCCTTCCTCACTCCATTAATGAGTGCACTGCTTGATTCTCTTTATCGGCAGAATACAGCAGCCAATATGATTATTTTGAGGGGTGAACGGGTCTTACTAACATCTTTTTTGTTTTAGTTTGTTTTTGTTTTAAATTTTTGGTTTAGTTTACTGGGTTCATTCCCTCCCCCTCATTTCATGTTTCATGAAATTTTTATATATTGTTTGATTTAAACATTTTGAGATTTTTATATCATGGGGTGTTGTTTTTTTTTTGTAGCCCCCCCCACCCTGAATATGTGGTATTGTGGTATATGTAGGATTGAATGGAGATGGATGAGTTCTTTTGGTAATTGGATAATTTGTATCAGATGAATGGGTCGTGATCGTGATTAAGTAGGACTAGGATAGTTAGTGAAGGCCAGCCTTTTCCCTCACTTCCCCTTTGGCCATGTGCCAAAATTATTGTATTTGTATAATAATAAATATATTTTGTATCAGGTTCCCTTTGAACATGAAGTTGCTGTTGCTATTCCCTTGTGTCTGATTTTGTATCTTCTCTTACAGGTAGGATCAAATGGGTGCACTTGGTTTATGCTAAAAATCTGGTTAACTGTCAATTAAATTTGGCTTTATTACAGATTCATTTCACTGGGTCAATTTATCAGAACCAATTGGATCCGTCTTAATTGGATCCTTCTTAATTTTTCTCTATGGAAAACCTAATTACACTTTCTTTCAACCATAAGCTATATATGACGAGGGCTGATGTCAAACCTCTGTGGTATGGTGAGATCTCTACCCACCCTGTTACAGTAGCATTATAAAAGCAATGAACACTGGCTTATATAATTTTTATGTATATTTTTTGTTATATTTTTTCTTTCTGGGAATTTTTTTGTGAACATAAAATTATAATTTCATTTGCTTCTTTATTGATTGGAAAAAACCCTGTTATTATTGTTATCTTTTTTGTTGATGTAGACTTTGTATGCTTTTATTTTAGCATTGTAGATGGATACTGGAACTTTTAAAAATATTTTCAATGTATATTTCTTCTTTAGGTAAATATTGGGGTCTACAGATTCTTAGTGCTCTTAAATAGAATCTTATAATTAAACCATTTTATTTTCTATTGCAGTAGTAAGAATAATAGTTTAGATCATTCTTGTTAGTAAATTTTCTGTAAACTTTTAGCTGGACGTTGTCATTGGTTTTATTTAACATAATATCTAGGAATGGTAATGCATTATTAGTCTCAGTTTCAAAAGTAAAATCTATCATAGTTTTAATGCTATTAAGTCTATTTACAAGGTCTGGTAAAATGAGAATTTTGTTGTAAATTATTTCTGTAAGGGCCACTTTATAGAAACTGTAAAAAGAGACAAGCTAAAAGATCAGTAAACCAAATTTCTGTAAACCCATTAGTAAATTTCTGTAAACCCATCAGTAAACCAAATTTCTGTTTATAAAAGTTAATGATTGCCTGAAGGAATACAATCATAGTATTGAAACATGAAAGCATTTGTGTAGCGATTTCAAAAATATTTTTATTATAATCTCTTATAATAAAATCGATAAATCAAATTGAGTTCTCTCAGTCACTGTGTGTTTGTCTAAAAATAAATACACTTAAATTCACCTTCATTCTTGCTGTGCACCAATGGCTTAGTGATAGAATCCCTGACTGATGCCAATTCAATCGGGTTTCGACCCTAGCTAGAGGCAACCAGACAGCTAGCCACACTGATGAGCTGTGATACAGCGAAACAATCTGTCTGTGGATGACAATATATATATATATATATATATATATATATACACACACACACAGAAGATGCAATGGATAAATTGTCTAAATTATACAAAAATAAAAATAACATTGACATCTCATTTTAACAGGTATATTTATCAAAATTACACAAAAAATATCTTGAAATATTAAAGAATAAATTTATTCAATAAAATCACCATTGGCTTCAACAACAGCCTCCACATGACTTCAGAATCTCCTGCAATTCTTCTGGGCTGCCTCCTTGTTAAGTTGGTGAATGCTACCATAATTCTTGCCTTCAGTTCATCTTTGGTGTTACAAGGAGTTTTGTTTATCTCTCATTCAACTACACCCATAATAATCAAGGCGGTTGCAGTCTAAGATGTTAGGTGGCCAGATGTAAGGAGTGATGAGGTCACAGAAATTGTCTGATAGCCATGACTGGATAGTCTGCTGCCAGACCTAGGGTCTTTCAGTAGCCACTCTCTTGACCCAGGGCCACACTACCTCTTCAAAGCACTTGACTTAGACCTCCATGTTGAGTCCAAGGCCCTCACCAACAAATTTTGGAGTTCTTTTCTTATCAGAATGTTCAGAGTGAGTTTTCCAAGCTGCTGTACCTTTGTAATGACCATTAGACTCATCCAACTCTTTCCAAATCCTCTGCACTGTCCTCAGATTGGCACTCAAAACACTCTGAAATGTTTGTATTGGAACTTCCAGCATGAATGCCAAGTAGTATGGCATACCATTTCCAAATTTTTGGTGGAGTGACTTGTGTCATGGTGCTCTTTTTCTCACATATGGTTCCCAACTGATCCTATGATATTGTGCAGTCAACAAAATCAAAAAATGCACCTGTGCAAAATTAAAAATATAAAATGGCAGAAATTTACCCATTGCACTCTGTGTGTGTATATATAAAAAATTAAACTGTAAAAAATTTAAAATCAAACTCGGCGTTGCTACTGCGCGCTCCAAAAACAATAACTCATTTCCAATAGCATTTTCGGATACAACAATACATATATTTTCGTTGTCCTCTTATTACTAAGAGAAAAAACAAGAACAACATCTATTCCATACCTGAAGATGTCTGTAGGAACAGACAAAGCTTGTAGTAAAAATAAGAACTAATACGGCAGAAATTTATAGAAACAAGGATCATTTCATTCATAACGGATTCGGAGGTTTTTGTATATTATTTGAATTGTTTTGCGCGATGGATTTCTCGCCAATTAAATCATTAACCTTTGCATTTGTTTTTGTGTGAATAATTCATGAATATATATATATATATATATATATATATATATATATATATATATAAACAGAAAATAGATTAAAATATTTGTAGATTTAATCCATTTCATATAATATGTTGTCAGTTAGGTTATAATTTAGAGGAAATATGATAGATCAAGAAAAATTGGTGAATGTGTGTTTAAAAGCAGTAATTCAAGCTCTGCTAACCAGAAGTTCTCTGTAGCTAAATGGTTTTACTGACGGTTCTGTATAGGATACATTAAAGTCTATAATGATTTTTAAGAGAAAAAATCCTTGTATTCTTTTTTCCAATTGCAGGTGTGGTATGCATGTAATTATGCTGAGCGTATTGGTGTACAAGTTCTGGATATTACAGATGAGGACATAGAAGGTAAATTGTGCCTTAATTTTCATGAGAAAAACCTTTAAAAATATTATTTATTAAAATAATACAGCAGATATATGTTTATTTGTTTTAGACTAACATTAATCATATTTTAGATTTCCAAATAAAATTTCACAAAAGTGTGTGTATCTGTCTGTGTGTGTGTATGTGTGTGTCATAACAACAGTAAACCTGTTGTGGCTTGATATGAAATCATCTAAAAGTTACTGAGTTTGCTTTTTGAAAGATGTTAAAAATCATATTCTTTTAAAAATATCTAAAATCCATTATAAAAATGAGAAAATTGTTTTTTCATTTTTACACACCTGCATTAGTCACAGCCATTTTGATTGCTATTGAGTCTTGAAATACAAACATGATGTTATGTATGTACATGATTAAAAGCTATGAACCTTCCTCAATTTTTAGTTTTGTTGTTTTTCTGTTTTTAAATTTGTGCAGATGCAGCTAAAGAATTTGAGTATTTTGTGAATCAATCTGGAAATGTTCTATTTGTTAATCAGATATTAATTACCAACATGTTTTTCAGAGCTTCTTTGTTTATACTTTGAAATTCTGAGTCTTAATATACACATAAAATTGTAGTTTTTTTTTTTTTTTTTTTTACTAACATTAGCAATTACTTGTAATGCTTAAACTACTTTAAAAATGATTCCAAACCTTTTTTTTTTTTTTTTTTTGTTTAAAACAAATAAAGATGAAAAATAGCCACATACGTTCCCAGTAGGTGCATGTGGGAATAATTATTGCAGTCAATCAAACTTTATAAAGTAAATTGTCAACAAAATCCTTCTCACTTTAAGAAAGTATTTTAAAATATTTCAAAAAGAAATTTTGTTAAAACTCTGATAATTGTGGTGAGAAAAATATCAAGTTTTTATATGAGAAAGAAGAGAAGTAAAGGAATAATTTCAAGTATGACATTGAGGCACACACATATACAGAAGTTGAAATGTAATGTAAAAATAAAGTGAAGTACAAGACAAAAGGAAAGAAACATGGTCGCTCATCTCAATTTGTTGCTCGCCCTGGCTGTCCTTAGAAACACTGTTAAGAACGCCTTCTCCTGAACTCCCGGTGTCAATCTCATTCATTCTTTTATCCCTTCCTAAAGTACTTGATCTGGGTGTTTGGATTAAATTCACATATGCTTCTGGCTTCTTCCTGGGACAACTACATCCAAGACAGTCATCAGGCAGTTTGTCATCATTGTCAGCAGTTTCCAAGCTACTGGTGTCAGAGGTATTGTCTAATGATACCAACCTTAGCCTTTCCAACATTTTGCTTTCTTCTGGGGAGCCACAGGTGTTCCCGAATGGCACACATGCTCCTGAACAATATCCTGTACCCTGTATCCAGATATTGTAGGTATAACGTTGATCAGCGTTGTGGAGGCTGAGATGCTGTCCTTTGGCATGACGTTATACCAGTAGATTGCCTCTGGTATAGAACATTGTTTTCTAGCCACAATGGTTTTTACACTTCTGTGGCTTCTCTCAACTTTCCTGCCGGTTCATAGGCACACAGGAATCAAAGATATATATCCGACTCATGCAGGAACTGCCAAAAGTGTTGGCCAGTAAATGTGGTGCCGGTGTCAGCCAGGATCTCATCGGGTGGACCACACTCATAAAATATTGACTCCAGCTGACATACAACACTTGCAGAATCTTGTTGACTCAGGTTGCATCAGACAGCAAATTGTGAGAGACCACAACCAATAAATGTAAGATAGTGGCCCCTGCCATAATAACCACTTCTTACCTGCTCCAATTGTCCTTCACATCAAGCCTCCCTTTTCACCAGTGTACAGCTGCAGGATTAATTGTCTGGCATGCTTCACACGTTTTCACTGCCATCTGTATGTCAATTTTGAAACAGCTGAGTCTCTCTGTTTGTCAAAATATAACGTGTGTTTTATCGCAGAGTATCCACTCCTTTGATATATATATATCTGATTTGCAGAAGCACTGCACATATGCTGGGTAGAATCAACTTCTGTTTTTACTCTACCACTGAAGTATTCTTGTTAGTTGATCATCTGACATCTTTTCTGCCAAGCTGTTTCCCTGGCATTCTGATGCAAAGTGGCTGATCTTATTGCACTCGAATCATCGCATCTCTTGGCGTGATCACCAGGTACTCGTTCCAGTGGACCATCTTATTGCACAGTCTCTGGCCACGTGGCCTGACCTCTGCAGCTGTAACAGGTGATGCCTATTTGGGGATTTGCCTCTTGTGAAACTTCAACCTCACTTCGAAGTAACTGTGTGTCTTTGATCATATCTTTGGTCATATCTCTTGTCAGCATCCTCACCCCTGTCAGCAAATCTCCCATGGTCAATGTTTCAATGGCCAGTGTTTGTTGCAATTCTATTGAGATGTTATTGGAGAGCCCTGTCACAAATGCCAGCTTCATTGACATCTCAAGACCGTGCACAGTGAACCCTGCAATTCCTGTAAGTCATCATATTTTGTTGGCGTAAACATCCATGTGCTCTCCTGTCCACCTAACCAATTTAAGCTTAGCATAAGCAGAGAACACCCTGTCTAAAAAAAAGCCTCCTTCAACTGGGCTTCAATCAGGTTGATGTTTGTCTGCTAATCCTCGTCCATCTCTAAATAGAGTTGAAGTGCATCTCCCTCCAAATACAAAGGTAAAAGCTTGCCACGTATTCTATTTTCTGTATTCTTGCCACCAGCTGCACCTTCTTGATTCATGCCACCACATCTCCATCACCATGGAAGTGCTTCATTATGTCGCTGCTAAGTTTTACCTTTGCCATTTTGAGGAAGTCAATAAATAGGTAGCACTGCCAAAATAGCTTGATGTAAAAAGAAAGTGAAGTACAAGGCAAAAGGAAAGAAACACGGTTGCTCGTCACTCATTTCTTGCTCACTCTGGCTGTTCTTAGAAACACCACTAAGAATGCTCTTCTCCCAAATTCCCATTGTCAATTTCTCAGTGATTAAATTTGCATATGCAAATCGTGTCACTCTCCCAACATCCTGGCTTGTCTGTTGAGCATTCATTCTACTTGGATAAATCAGCCTGAACTGGTTAATGTGAGGCTTGAATTGCAGCCACATCAATTCTGTTTACGGTTACAAAAAATGCATGTTGCTACGCAAATTCTTTTTGTGGTGGTCAAACAATGCCTTCTCTCGGCAACTCCTTCATTACAAAAGGCACGGGAGAATTATATCTAACCTGGAAATAATCACCATATGGAATTTAGTGCATTAAATGTACAATGAAATGGAAATGTTTTTTTTTAAAATTTAGTTTGACTGCTATAATTTTAGACAGGGTAATAATGATTAGTTTTACTTGTATAAATGAATATTTTGTTTATAATGAAGATTTGATTTTTAAAACACAAACAAGCATAAATTCTATAACTGCTGCCATTGAAGAAACACAGAATATATTGATGATTGGTATCTTGCACTTCTATTTCTATTAACCACAAAGCAAAGAAGCAAATATTTTAGTATTTTATCAAAGAGTGAAAAAAGTTGGTAAAGAGTTTCATCTTCAGATATATTTTTTGATAAAGCAATTTCTTAGCAACTATTTTTTTTTTTTTTAATATTTGAAAAAAATATAACTAGAGTCACTGCTAAATTATAATTGTTCTCAATTACAATAAGCTGATAATTAGTAAAACTGGACTTGTAAGAGGTCAACTGATTAGGCCTGACTTTTGGGTCTTGTCTTTTATGTGAGAACTTATAGATTAAAATTATTTGAAAAGCTATTGATTGATTTCAGGTATTTAGAATGTAATTGTTTGTTGTATACTAAAATGATATGATATTTTTATTTTCTTTCTTCACATCACAGCCCTGAATGAACAGGAGTGTGAGTGGCCATGTTATGAATGCAACAAGCGTTTCAAAACCTCAGCTTCTCTTCAGAAGCATTTGGTTGTCCATGAAGAAAGCTTATCCCGGCAACAAGAGGAAGAGTTTGGTATTCATGGTGATATGAATATTCGAAAAAACAAGAGAAAAAACTTTTCACAACCTGGATCTTCTATCAGAAAGAGGAGGCGACATCCTAAAGCTGCTAGTGTAAGTACAAATCAGTAAGATAAAGATAGTTCTGTCAAGTGAACGGTCATTAGCATTTTTGTCGATGTTACCAAAAACTGATCAGTTCTTATCAACCTTATAGTTTAGATATTTGATTAATATCAAGTGGGCAGTTTTCTTATTTCATATCTAAGAAATGTAGTTTGTTTGATATGTATGAGTTTATAATAGCCAGGTCAGTACTTAGATGGGCGACCGCTTGGGAACACCTGGTACTGTAAGCCCCAAAAGTCAACCCATACCTCACAGTCGGTGGGGGGGTAAACAGTAGTGTCAGCTATGCCGCCGAACCGTTCCTGGTAAGGCCACCAAAGGCGGACAGGTCTGACACATGCCCGGCTAACAAGGGCTCTGGTGAAAATCCAAAAGGAGCGTCTGCATCGGTAACGGCTTCTGGTGGATTCCTGTCTCTGCGTCTGTGGGAATCCTGTGGCAAGCAAGAACGTTATCCGAGTAGGCCTGGGTACCCTACTTCTGTAATTTATCCCAAGAATCATCTTCTCATAACAGGAAGAAGCCGGCTCGATCCGCCCAGGGTGAATGCCGCATCAGTACAGTAGTAGTTATAATAGGAAGTAATATCTTGATCTTTTTGTTTATATATCTGATATACATAAAGTAAGCTACCAGTTTATTCAGATAAAAGTCTATTATGCTTCATGTAGTCAAACAAGATTTGATTTTTAAATGAGAATATTTATGAGGTTTATGTAATAATGTCTCCATTTTCATTCAGTGTGGAAAGCAAAGGACTATTCTGGTTATAACATTAAAGCTAAAAATGACTACCCTGCTGAAAACTATGATAAATCACTCTTGACTTGTTTTGTTCAATATTCAGAAGATGAGTCATCTTTAGTGTTATTAGTATTTATCTATCAATCATGTTTATAAGGTCTGGATTGACCACAGAAACTCATTGTATTTTGTTGTAAAAGCAACAGATCAGTTTTACATGTGGTCAAATGAAGACAAAGCACAATGAGGTTATAAAATTTAAGTATTATGTGTTGGGTTTAATTATGAAAACATCTATTAAAAAAAATAACTACCTAGCCATAGTGGTCAGTGTAAACAAAAGTCAAAGAAAAGGAAATTTAACTCCAGTCCTGCTGCTCTATAATGGGATGGGAAGAGGTCAGAGAATTTGAAATTAGCAAACCTTATCCATAATTCAACACTTCGTTCTCTCATAAGACAAGAGTTTACAACCACAACAAGAAAAGTCCAAGTTGTGTATTTTTTCATCCCTACCACTAGCCTAAGATGAAAGATTATTGACTAAGTAAAGTGAACTATTTTATTACACTTTATTGCTATTAAACACATTATATTACAATTGGTACCTGAACTGTTTCATGATGTGTTTATTATTAATATAATGATAATTACAGTTAATACTGCACTTATATTCATCTGTGATTGTTATCATATATATATATATATATATATATATATATATATATATATATATTTCTAATGTTGATGCATGTGAAATGGTTTGTCTACTTTGGAAATAAGTATTTGAAATCCTGGCTCTTACCTTGGTTTGAATATTGACCACTAGTACCAGAGGGAAATGTGCAACTGTCTTCACCATCAAATATCTCATGTCTTTAACATTATTGATCTTTGCTAATCTTTGTATAGCACAAGTTGAGCTAGAATAGTTCAGTAGAAAAATCTTTCAAGTTTGGAAAGCTCATCTGTCTTGAAAATGAATTTTAAATTCTGGTCTTTTTATATAAAAGAAAGGTTGTGTCTGTGTGTATGTAAATTTGTTTGTACAATGACCACGTGCATGACTTTTTAATAACTCCCTTTACTTGCTCCTTTCAAATTTGGGCGAGCTGAGGAAAAAGATGGAAAGAAATTCGCTCGGCTTAGTTAAGAGAAAACTTTGAGTTAGTAGAGATTGACTGGCAAGCTGAAAAAAAATGACAAAACAAATTTGTGAGCCTATGTGAAATTTTCTTTGGACCAATGACAATGTTGTATATATAAAAGAAAGATTGTGTCTGTATTTATTTTTGTTTATACAATGAGTGCATGTCTTTTTATAAAGAAAAATTGGTGGAGAACAATAAATGATATGTTAAAAAATTAATTTAAAAATTGATCAAAAAATAAAACAAATTAATAAAAGATAAAGCATAATAAAAAAAAAATAAAAAACATAAAGAAGAATAATAAACAACCTAAAATTGAACAACCAGTTACTGAAAATCAGCTCTGAATTGTAAAATACAAAACTTAATAAAACTAAGACATTATTGAATTAGGAAAGCTTAGAGGTCATAGAGGATGAGAATGGTAAATTGCTGACGAACAGTGAGAAAGTTCTCCATAGGTGGACTCAATTGATGGTTTATACAAATACCAGCTCCATGCAGACATCTCCATATTGCAAGCTGACCAACACTTCATAGAAGAAGATAAGACCAGTCTGTCAATACTGAAGAGGGAGGTTGAGTTGGCAGTAAGGAGCTTGAAAGTCACCCAGAGTGGATAATATTCCCTCTGAGCTGATAAAACATGAAGGTGAAGAAACCATAAAAGCCTTTTCAATGAATTAATGAGACATAGATTTTATGATCCTCTTCAGTTCATCATTTGTATGGGGAAGATGGTTACCATTTTGGTATTAAACATCATAATCCAAGCAATCCAGAGGATATGTTAAAGAAGTATTGTGTAAGGAATTCTGTGCGCACCGTTTTATGACACGTTGCAACTCATTCTATCATCTTCATCGCTCACAAGATCACTTTCATCAATATGCAGTTGATATGGCTGATAAAAATGGTGTCTGAGAGGCTATGTTTCATTAGAAACAATCAAAAGCAACTGCAATCGGAGAATTATATTCATCTGAGAGATGCAATAAACAATGATATAACACCTTGAGCAGCTCTGCATTCTACCATCAAGCTTTACGGGAGGGCCTTGATACATGCATGAAAGGACACAATATGCCTATGTACATCACTATGGTAGACCAGATCTCTTTTTAACCTTTACATGCAACCCAAAGTGGAAAGAAATTAAAGAAACCTTTTTCTGTATCTAAAGACCAAAGATAGACCTGACTTTCTTGCCAGAGTCTTTTGCCAGAAGTTGGAGGGGAAAACATTTGGGGCCATTATGTGTGACATGTACAAAATTGAGTGGCAAAAATGGGGTCTACCACATGCTCACATTCTGCTTTGGCTGGTAACAAAAATTTGCTCTAATAAAATTGACACAATAATCTTGGCAGAGTTTCCAAATCCATCAACAGACAAGGAGTTCTATGAAATTGTTAAAAGGAACAAGGGTACATGGCCCATGTGAGATGGACTTTAACATCAACTTGCCATGTCTGAAGAACAATGTATGCTCAAAGAAATGTCCCCAAGAGATTTCTTACAGAAACAGAAACTGGTAATAACGGATACCCTTCTTACAGGTGTAGAAGCCCAGATGATGGTCTTTTTCCAGCAAAGGTTGGACAACATGAGGTTGACAACTAGTGGATAGTATTCTATTGTTTACACTAATGCTGAATTCTGCATCTCCAAGTATATTTGAAAATACGTCAACAAGGCATCAGCAGGAATATAGCCAAGATGAGATAACCCAGTATCAAATGGGCAGATACGTCAGTAGTAATGAGGCATTTTAGTGCAGGTTTGGCTTTCCATTACATGAAAGACACCTGGCTATTGTGCAACTTGGTGTCTATTTGGAAAATGGTCAACATGTCTACTTTATCAAAGCAAATGCTATTCAGGTAGCCTACACACACCCAATGATACTAAACTTACAGCTTTCTTCAAGCTGTGGCAAAATGATCCTTTTGCCCACACTTGTATTACTAAATGCCATCTTATTACGTCTGGAAAGTCAAAAAGGAATGGGTACATAGATTGATAGATCAAGATGTACTGGAGCACCCTAGCATTAAGTTTGAGTGCCTAGGTAGAGTGTACACTGTACATCCCAACAAACATGAATGCTTTTATCTTCATCTCCTTTTTCACAAAGTTCAAGACCCAACATTCTTCCAGGATCTTAAAAATGTAAACAGACTGGTTTGTACAACCTACCGAGAAGCATACTTGAGTGAAAATTTGCTTGAAGATGATGCCCAATAGGATGCAACAATGGCTGATGCTATTGTGTCACAATCCCCGGGGAATCTTAGGTCACTCTTTGCAGTCCTATTGCAAGCATGCCAAGTAAGTGATCTTGCTTCTCTGTGACATAAGTATAGGGATAGATTATCTGAAGACATTAAGCACAAAGCCCAACTCCAATTTCCAGTTATGGAAATAGATTTCAGTGATGAAATTTACAACAGGATGGTAATCATTATAGAAAACTGTCATTTCTATTGGAGGGAATGTGTTACCAGTATACGGGTTGCCCCAAACACATTGAACTGGGACTGATGCCTTACCTACAGAAGTGTTGAGGAAACATCCTATAACATCAATGCCTTGTGTGCATATGTTGATGAAAATGAGCAAAGGTTGTTTCCGGAACAAAGGAGAGCTTATGACATTGTTGTTGACAGTGTCCACTTCTTCAAAGGTGTAATATCCTTCCTAGATGCTCCTTGAGGGACTGGAAAGACGTTTGTTACTAAGCTGTTTTTGGCCAAAGTTCAAAAGCACAAGGACGTATCTTTGGCAGTCGCCTTATCTGGTATTACTGCAACTTTGATGCCTGGTGGCTGAACTGCACATTTAACTTTTAAGCTTCCATTTGACTTGACTTCATCTGATAATCCAATTTGCAGTGTCAGCAAAACCTCTGAATTGGCTGGTGTGTTAAAAAGTTTCAGGTTTATCATATGGGATGAATGTACTGTGGCAGCTCTGGGAGTATTGTGGCAATATATTAAAATATTGACTCTTAGCACAAACATGAGAGCACAATTATATGGAGATCAGCTGTCAGCTCAGTTCTCCTGCAACATTTTGAGACTTGGCAATGGCAATATACCTTTAGATGCCAATGGAGAGATGAGCATCAGCCGTTCTGCAATGTTGTCAGTTTTGCTGATGGGATTAAGGCCAAGGATTTCCCAAACCTCCAACATAATTACAAAATCTGCAATTGGTTATGTGACAGGGCAATACTGGCTCCAAAGAACAATGCACTTGACAGAGTCAATGACCAACTGTTGCAGTCCCTCTCAGAAACATGTCATATCAATAGGTCAGTGTATACCAAATCAGATCCGGAGCAGGTGGTCAATTATCCAATGGAATTTCTGAATTATCTAGAACCTCCTGGACTACCTTCACATAGACTGGAACTTAACTATAATGCTATTACAGAATCTGGGCCCACCAAGACTTTGTAATAGAACCAGACTGGTGATTATGAAGTTGATGTAATTGAGGCATCAGTTCATACTGGGTATGGAAAATGCAAAGATGTCTTTATTTCCAGGATTCCCCTTATTCCATCAGGGTTGGATATTCCATTCATGTTTAGAAGACTTCATTTTTCAATATGAATAAGTTTTGATATGTCTATTAACAAAGCATAATGCCAGACTCTATCAGTTTGTGGCTATTGAAATAAACATGTCAAATGATTTTTGCTTTCTGATATTTTTAACAAATCTGCAATTTGTTTCTTTATTTTTTTCAGATTAATGGAGAAATGTCTGGTTTTCAATGGAAAAAGAAGAGCTCTACATTTTATTTAAACAAGTAAGTAATGTGACTAAGATAGTTCTTTAGTATGATAAGCTTTTGTGTATTTAGCTTAAGTAATACATAAGAGTAAGAGTTTACAAGTGCTCAGCTGGTTACCAGCTAACGTTCTTTGCTGATATAAAGCAGAAAGACTATATTGAATCCATAACTGTGGTGAACAGCCCCGTAGAAGCAAGTGAGCCAGAGTGGCTTGCATCTGGTGCATAGGAAAATAAGGGTCTTACCTTAACGTGTGGCATGTGACATCAGCAAGTTTACTCCATGAAAATGGCATTACTCTCCCGTCTAACAATTCTAGCAGTATGTGCAGTAATGAGGGTTTTTTGTACAGTTTGGCATGCTTCCACCAATAGCAAGTCATGTGCTAATTGGTCGAACTGGAGGAAGCTATTTGCCTGGGTAACTGAGAATAAAAGCGAAGAACGTTGATTGGTTGGTCGACCACGCTGTTGGCCTGATAAGAGGGCTGAAGCAGTGAAAACGGCAGAAGAAAACTCTGATTTACATTGTGAAGTGTGCAGAAAGCAAGAACGACAAATTGAACCAGCGGTATCTGGATTTGTACAAGTGACATTGTAGTAATAGAGACTCATTTAAACTACAATAACTAAGTCAGTTGCTAAAAAAGTTGGTTCACTGTGTCATGCGCAACAATTTTTGTCTCCAGAATCTATCTTACATATCTATAAGTCTATCATTCATCCATGCTTAGTATATTGCCACCACATATGATCTGGTGCTCCTGCTATTTATCTAGAGTCCTTTGATAAAATTATTGGTCTGATATTGCATCTCATCTTCAGTCACTTTCCCACCACCATAAGGTTGCCTCCTTATGTCCCTTCTATAAATACTTTCATGGTAATTGTTCCAATGAGATCTTCGCTATAGTATCTAGACTTTTGAATTTAGTACTAGACTGGCGTCGAAATCTCATCAATTTACAGTTGAGGTAGCTAGAAGTAACCGTAAATTCTATTCTAACAGTTTCTTTTCTCACATTTCTCGTTTGTGGAACTCCCTTCTAGCTCCATGCTTTCCAGTCAACTTTAATCGCAAATTTAAATACAATGTCAGTTGTTATCTACTGTCCTCCTAATTAGTCTTTTGTTCTTGTTTAGTAATGTTTCTGTTTCTAATTTTTCAACACCCAGTAACTCCTTGTATTTTAGTGGCTTTACTAATTTGCTTGGGGTGAACTTGATTAAAAAACAAACAAACAATAATAACAGTAATATTATCTTTATTATTTTTATAATTGATGAAGCATTGTGAACCATTATTTATTTATACAAGTAGTTCATTCAACTTCATTTGCTTTTCCTCACAAGAATCTTATTCTATAGTCATCAGTAGAATTATTCTTTAAATCCAATGTGTACTTCTTACTGATGGCCGTTAAATGACAGTCTGAGTTGTTATGATGGAAAGTAACTGAACTTGCAATGAAAGAAATACTAGTCAAAAATTACTAGTATGATTTATTGTTTTATAATTAATGTAAAGTGAATGCAAACGTTTTTTTAAGTAGAAATTCTTGTAGTCAGACAGAAGTCAGTTGATGATCTCAATATACAGTTGTTACATAGAAAATAGTTACTGCTTAGTAGGATGAACAGTATAAGAAAAGATTCAACTTTTATAAATGAATATTGTTACAGGTAAAACACAAAATGGATACTTGACAATGTTTAACTTACAAAATCATACAAAAACCAAGATTTCTGGCTTTGTTATTTTTGTGGAAAGCAACAAAATTTGTAAGAAAAATGTTGAAGCAATATGTTTCCATCATTTCTTGACATGTAAACTCATCACATTCTTGTTTAGCCATCAAATTATTCTCCTTAGTTTTTATGTTTTTCCTGTCAGCTGAATTGTATTCCATCATAAAACAATTATCCATATTTTTAGTTGATGAATTCTTTGATTTCTTGAAATTTTTAGGACTTCTGACAAATGTTTGGGTTGTATGAAACAAAACCAAGTTAATATCAAAAAGGTGTCAGATCTGCAGAACCTGCTGATTGCAGAACAAAATCCCATTCCAACTCATTGCATCACATTTGCAACATAAGGACAGAGTTTTTATTTTTTTTCTATTTTTTTTTTAGTTTTCTCATGGAACAATTGCCAGTCAACTTCATTGTCCAAAAAACAGTCTTTACTTTTAAATTGACTACTACACCACCTAAAGATTTTCAGGCTCCTTATTAGGGGTTGTTCCTTTTAAACACATTCTGCTCACATATTGTTTGTTACATTTTACTTCAAAATTTCTGTCAGGTTTTAAGGTTTTCCATAGTTTTACGCATTAAACTGAACATCTTTTTTTTTTTTTTTAAACTTTGCCAACCATTCTGATATGTGCTTGCACACTTACCTCACATCATTATCATGTGATTCATTGCTTAACTTCTGTGGCATTTTTTACTCAGATAAAATGTGAAGAGTAGTTTTGAATGTGTTATATATATTTAGGCATAATTTTCACCAAAGTAAAGTAAAATGATCATGTTCTCACAAACAATTTTTAAAGAGTATGGACACACAGATAGTAAAGAGTATGGACACACAAATAGTAAAATGTATGGACACACAAATAGTAAAGAGCAAAAGATTATGCTGAGAGTTCATATTTATATATGTGTTGTTTTTTACATTTATGCAACTTTAAATAATCTTTCAATAGTGGTAAATTTTATACACTCTAAATAAAGTGTTCAATTTTCTTCCTTTTTTATAACTTTGACTATTTTGCAAATCTATTCATTATACTGTACTAATTTGGTATGAAATAATTTTATTGTCTACATTTAATTTATTTTGTGTATACTTTTATTAGCATATTGTGATGATTTCCATATTTCAGAACTCTAAAGAAATATCATCGTAGACCAGACCATGATGCACTTCGTCGCAGAACACTCAAGTCTTTGTATCGAAAGAAAGGCAAAGAGACTGGTGGCAATGAATGGGTGTGCACCCATTGTGATCTGACATTTGATAACTCAAATCTGCTGAATTTGCACACACTTACCCATGCTGCTGAAGATGTGGGGCTGGATGAAGTGAAACGATTGGCATGTGATCCGAATGATAATAAAAGTGCAGTGGTAGCCACAGCTCTCCAACTGCAAAAGATGGCAAGTGTTGGCGGTGGTAGTTTGAACTTTGAGGAGTCAGACACGATCCTCACTCTGGATGAGAATATGCTGACTTGTCCTGTCTGCTATGGCCCGTTTCAAAATCAGCATGATCTGATAGAACATGCCAGTGTCCATGGCAAGACCAAACGAAAGCTTGTCCTCAACCCTGAACGCCCACACAAATGTGAAAAGTGCTGGAAGGCTTTTGGAAGTCATGAACGCCTTCAGAAACATCTTTTGTGTCACGGGGATGAAAGTGCCAAACCTCTACAGTGTCAGGTTTGTTACAAGCGTTTCATGAACAACTCTGCCCTCTCATGTCACATGAAAACACACAGTGACAGAAAATATTACGAGTGTCCTCTGTGTCGCTGTGACTTTGATCAGGTCACATTGCTGAAGAGTCATGTCACCCAGCATGAGCAGTCCAATGGGAAATACATGTGCCCCAGTTGTAAACGAGAATTTGAAGACTTTGTCACAATTCGAAAACACATGCGAGCTTTCCACTCTGAGAAAAAATATCCCTGTCCACAATGTGAGAAGATATTTCCCCGCCCAGACAAACTCAAATTGCACATGTTACGTCATTCTTCACATCGTGAATTTATGTGTGAAAACTGTGGTCGCCAGTTCAAACGCAAGGACAAGCTTAAAGAACACATAAAGCGCATGCACTCTGCTGAACGTGAGGCACGGCTGGCATGCAAAGAAGAGAAACCAGTTAATCATAAAAAGTTCATCCCTAAAGTCTCTCCTAATGACTATCATCGATTTATTTATAAATGCCACACATGTCTACTTGGCTTTAAAAGACGAGGCATGCTTGTCAACCATCTGGCCAAGAGACACCCTGATATAAAACCAGAAACAGTCCCAGAGCTTAATCTTCCAATATTAAAGACACAACGAGACTATTACTGTCAGTACTGTGAGAAAGTGTACAAATCTAGTTCAAAACGGAAATCTCATATTTTGAAGAATCATCCTGGGTCTGAGCTGCCTATGAGCAGTCGGCGGCGATCCACTATCCAAGAGATTCCAGGCCTCCCCAACCCTACCTACTCACAAATGGTTGGTAGCATTACCACTATGCCCCACTCATGTAACTTCTGTCACAAACAGTACGCCAGTAAGGCAAAACTTATGCAACATCAGCGTAAAAAACATCCAGAAATGGTGCCTCCATCCTTGATTGTACGAAGAGTGAAAGAAGAAAGAATGACTGTCGGTATATCTGATGATTCCCATGGTGGTGTTGGGGATGATGAGTATGATGTTACACCTGGACAACCCCAGGCTGTAACTGATCCTTATCAACAGGCAGATCTGCTCACACAGGCTATGTCAGAGCTGACCCAGTCACTAGAATACCGTCCAACTGGTGACTTCACTGTCACTCGGGTCGCCAACACACCGACCCCTACTGGACAGCCAACTATGGTACAGATCCAGGCTACACCTTTAGCAGCAGTGCCTGGCCAGCACACAACCATTGAACTTAGCCATCTTGGCCAGAACCTTGTCCATACACAGTTTGCTACAGTCAATCCACAAGAGCAAGCAATAGTTGCAACTGCAAATCAAGAGACTCCCCAGTCACTGAGTCCATCACAACAAACAATTAACACCCAGGCGGCGACTGTCCCTGTTACTCTCTCTGGGAATACAATCACTCTTGCACGGACATGGCCTAACTTGAGCTTCCGTTGATTGGAAATGAAAATGGAACTCATTCCTGTCAGTTTCTTTTCTTTTTCTCTCCCATTTATTCCCTTCCTCTTTCCCATTGCCCCCCACTGCTCAATCTCCATCCCATTCATATGTAAATATATCTGTGTGTGTTTGCATGTATGTCAATGAGTAATTGGGTGTGTATCTGTTTATGTGTGTGCGTATATATTAAAGTGTATGTAAAATGATTTAACATGAAAATGTTGAAATTTTGATTTTTTTTTTCTTATACATTTTTTACCTACCAGAACCACCATGATTACCAATTCTAATTTTATTTCAATGTTGTTAGCACATCTTATAATAATGTAATTATCTATTGTGGCTTCTTGAATGTTTTATTGCCAGAAACCTTCATTTTCAGTGATAAGGAAGTGTTGTCTCAGGTTTATCAAGAATCATAATCAATTCTATTTTTCTCTGTGTGTCTGTGTGTATGCGCGCACGTCTCTTTCAACCTCACCGCCATTCTCAGTTCATTTTCTTTCTCACTATTCCTTAGCTCTCTCTCTTTACCTCCATTCATCTTACCCTCTGCTATTTATTTGGCTTCTTTTATCTTTTTATCCATATTCTTTCTCCTTCTCTTCACATTTTACTTTCTATTTTAGATAATTCCTTTTTATTTCTTCAACCACTTTCTCTATCACTGAATATATTGTATTTTCCTTGCTACCCACTAACCTCTTAATATTCTTCTTCCACATATATGTATTTCTTGTTCAATTTTTGTTTAACTCATTATTTTTCTTCTTTCTAAATCTATTTTGTTTCTTTATAAATGAAGTTACTTCATTTTTTTTACTTGGTTCTCCTTTAAATCATTGGTTTTATAATTTGTCTCATTGAAAGATAGACATTTTTTTTGTTAAATTATATTTTCAACTCTTTTTGTGTCACTTCTGTCCTCGTCTTTTTATTTCTCTCTAGTCATTTTGCTTGTTATGTTTGTATGAGAGCCACATGTGTGTGAAGTTACACACACAATGAAACTCATTTAAACCTCCTGTGACATACCTTTAAAACCAACAAACCTTCCAACATTTGCATACAGAAACATCCACACAACCAATATACATGTGAGTGTTTAGGTACAAACATACACAAAAACTTAAGCACTTGATCTAAAGATTAATATATTTGTCAAAGTTAATTTGATCAACTTGTGTATCCAAAATGTAAAGCTTTTTGCTTAATTAAAAAGTGCTATATACACACCTACACACACATGATCAAATAAATCTTTCCTTTGGGGTCCCTGCTTAGGACTTTATATTAAATAGAAATCTATTTTCTTTTCTTTTTTTTCTTCTTTTTCTTTCTTTTTTTTTGTATGTTTTTCTTATGCACATCTACAGATAAAGTAAGCACAGTAAAGCTCTTTAAGTAATATTTTATTCATTCAGCCCTAAATTTTCTTTTTAAATCTCTTAAAACAAATGGAACCTATTGTTAGATGTATGAGAAGACAGAGAAACATAATGCATCAATAATTTTTCTGTATCTCTCAATATACAGATTCTTGAAAATATTTTGCATTCATTCTTTTAATCTTGTTGCTTTCTCTATTTCATTATATGTTTACTCTGATACTTGCTTTAGAAATGTGCCTGTGGTATTGTTTATGGTTACTGGCATTTAATCTAGATTTTTAATTAGTTTAAGATTTAAATACTCTTATTTTTTCTGAAAAGAAAAAAAAAAAACGAGGCTACTTGAGGTAATTTTAATATTTTTATAGATCTTTTGTTTTTTAATATTCTTGCCACAGGTAAAAATTGTTTTTTTTTTTTCCTATAAGAATACTTTTATTTTATAACTTTAAAATGACAGGTGGTAAGTGAAACCACAAAGGAATGTTTTATTTGTTTTAATAAATAAGATGAAAGTTTTTTGCTCTCTTGATATATATTTTTGACAGGTTGCAAACCTAAGTGCATCATGATTGGCTGCCTGTATGTCATCATTTGGAATTTCTCAACAACTTCATCTTAATTATCTTATAAATATTCTCCTCTTTTTGGCTACTTGATCTAAAATGAGTATTAAATGAGAAATTTATTTTTTTCATTTGGTAGCAAAGTAAAGTAATAAAACATTGAATATTGCAATGGTTTTGATACAATATTTCAAAGCCCAAGTATAAAAAACAATTTTTATGAAAGAAAAGAATTTTCTTTCTCTTTATATTAATAGCAGGAATTACAAGGATTTTTTTCTCATACTGAAATATCCTGATGAAATGTTTTCAACTCGGAAAGACCAAGATATCAATAATCAAATTTCTTTTAGTAAATATATCTCTAATCTATTTCCCTTCAATGTGATAATTGATAAGTGATCTGTTTCAAGAGCAAATTTATAACTTGATTCAAGAAGTGAAAATCAATATGCGTATCTGTATCCAGTCATATTTGGGTCATTAAAGACAAATGCCCACATAATGTCAATCCCAATTCCTTTGCTTCATTGTATGATTGTATCTGTATATGTATAGCAGTATATGTATCAACAGAGGTTAGCATGTCCTGGAATGCAAGAATTGATGTTTCTACAAAAGGAGATGAATATGTTGCCCAAGAATTTGCAAATAAGAAATGCCTTCTCCATTGTGTCTTTAGAGCAATTTATTTATCAAATTTTTCAGCAGGAGATTCCATGCTTAGCAAATTAAGAAAAGATGATTTCTAAAGATCTTCACTTTAAACACCCCCCTCAGACATTTAATATCTCTCCTCCTCTATTTTGACATAAATACATTAACAATTCTCAAATGTTTATTATAACTTATGAGTGTGTGTGTGTATGTGAGATACATAATGATGCTTCTGTCAGAGCCAGATGTTGTTTTTGTTTTTTGTTCTATTTATTAACAGGACTGCATTTTGTATGATTCCCTGATAAGCTGTACAATGTTGAATAAAGTTAAAATGTTTGGTTGCTCCTATGTGTGGTAATAATGCGACCACCATCTTATGAACTGTTTTTTCTTGTGTTTATTTTCTCTATCATTTTAGCTTTGATCAAACTTGATTCTGCCGCAGCCACACTTCAGCAGATTGAATGGTAAACAGAAAATACTTATCTTATACTACAATTTAATCTTATAGCTATTAAACTCACCTAGTATTGCCTGTGGATGTTGGGTAGTGTAATGGATATCAGCAATGAAAATGGAATCAGCAATGTGAGTTGAAATTTCTGGCCTTGATTTTTGCACTCACTTTCACACCACTACCTTTGAGAAAGATATGATTTATTTCTTCTCTATCACTCCACTCTCTCAAGTTAAATAACAAAGGAGACTAAACTCTTTAGCATAAGGTGGCTGCCAGTCTAAGAGAAGGACAACAATGAATCCAACTTTTGGAGAAAGGAACACAAAACCACTCCACTATCTTTCCCAAGAATGCAAGACAATTCATAGATAATAAAGAAGAAACTGTGGATAGTCATAATTGTCCATGACCTGAAGGGACAGAGCATTTTAATATTGTTGGGGTGTTACCTAGCTTCAAAATTACACACAAGATTGTCATTAATGTACCATCATTTAGCCAACATAATGGCATACATGCACCATGCCATTTACCTTATTCAAAAGAAAGTGAAGCTCATCAGACCAGCGGACTTTCTTCTGTTGATACATTGTTTACTTCTGACTATAAAGATGATTTTTGCAATGAACATGGGTTAGTCTAGGTATTCTGATTGGTTTGATGCTACTCAGCCTCATGTACAATAAGGACCAATGTACTCTCCATTATGATTACATCGATTACCTTGATTAAAGAGATCTGCAGTTTGTGCCATAGCAGCTCTTCTGTGAACTTCTACTTGACTGAAAAGTTTCAGTTCACTTCTCGCATAAATAAACTTGGCTACCTCATACCTTGTCAGCAGTTGGGGATTTTTTTTCTTTCCTCTAACCTCAACCAATAGGTTTCATATCACAATTGAATGTGATCAGTTGTAAATGTAAGTTTTGTAAATATTTTGACCTTTACCAAAATCACCCAAACATTTCTTCTTGTCCCTAACTGCAGAGCATCCAATACATCAAAATGAAAGAATTGTGATTGGCTTATTTGCTTATATACTTCTGACCCTAACACAAACAGTTGTTACAAACAAAACAGTAGCTGTTGTTCTTGCCATATGTCATGGGCCATAATGTTTTGACTCCTCAGTTTATTAAAAACAATAGAGATTAATTTCAAAGGTTTTATTTACTTACTAGCAATAGAGCCCGGCGTTGCCCGGGGATGTAACAGTAAGAGATAGATCAAGTATTGACCATCATAAAGACCGAAAAATAAAATTGACAAAGATTATTGTTTAAGGTTGACGGACACTCATGTCTTAATTATTTTTTTTTTGTTTTTTGTTTTGCTTTGTGTTTTTTTTTTTTTTTTACGAATTGGTCAAACCCAAACTCAAGCAAAAACATTGTTTTCAATTGTTATGAGTCTACCGATTGGATAGAATTTTATTATAAACAATTGTCTTGTAAATGGAATTTTTAAAGCATTCTGAATGTAAAAATAAAGAAAAAAGTGTGCAAGACAATAAGAAACACTACCTCCCCCCCCAAGTGAAGTTTTGTTGAAATCGGTTGAAAAATGTAGGAAATCCGATCCCATATATAAATGAACACACACACACAAACAAACAACCTGGGTTTTATAATAAGTATAACTCGATATGTGTTGTCCCCCTTTCATTCTCGTGATGCCTCTTAATCGTGTTTTCAAATTGATTTCATGCAAAAACAATTGTGTTTTTCCAATTTTTGGCGCTGTTAGAACCACCGCAAGGTAATTTTACGTAGTCCTGTGAAGTTATGTTGTAATCGGTTGAAAAATGTAGGAAATCCGATCCAATATATAAACGTACACACACACACACACAATCTGCATTTTATAATAAGTAAGATTCAATAGAAAACAGCAGACATATTGCTCAACTGTGAGGGTAAGGCAATCCTGCATGCAAAAATACCATTTATAATCCTTACCATGTAATATCAACAAATGATACTCTAATCACCTGACTGGATGTACCTAACACCTCCATATAATTTGGACAAGTATAAAATTATCAGATTTATTATATGAATACATAGATTTATAATATCAATTAATGTTGCCTAATTTAAAATTGTTTTAATAAATCCCACAAAAACTGTATAGTGGATTAATGAAAAATCTTTGTATTTTGTTTTTGTACATTTTGAACTAAAAATAAGAAAACTTCAATAACAAAGAATTTTTCTTTTCAGGATCTGTTCCTTAACTCCTCTCTAAACTCTTGTCACGATTTGCAACTCTGTCCTCTTGGTAACTTGGATCATGCTATAGTATCTGTAGATATTTCTTTCCACTTGTCTATTAGGCAAGACCCACCTATACACAAGACATCATTTTTTTTTTGTGACACCCCTTAGAGTGAAATTTTTAATCTTACCATTGAAAATTGTGCTACCAGAGTTTCTTCCTAGGTGAAAACCAACATCAATGCTTTTGTGCCATTGCAGAAATACAAATTGAAACCACAATATTCTACTTAGTTCACTCCTGCCTGTTCAGCTGCTATAGCCCACGGGAATCACTTCTTCTGGCTACCCACAATAAGTGTGTTTTTATCATTGCTAAAATGCTTTTTGGTGATAGAATGAAACACCATAGAGCC